CAGGAGTCGATGAAGCAGTAGAAGTAGAAGTAGTGTGAGGAGCCCTCGATAGTGTATTCGCTTGTTGATGCTGTAATACCGCCTTCAGATTTCTAGCCTCGTCGTCAGGAAGGCTCACACGACTAATCTGCGTGTTGTTTCTTGTTGTCGGAGTTTGAGAATTTGAGTTCTTCCCCTCATTGCCAGAAGCTTCGACTCGATGCGCATCAGCATGTGGATTCTCAATTAGAACCAAAGTACGTCGTCGCGGCTCATCTCGTCCGGCAGGACCTTTCTGAGCATTCTTATTCAAATTGGAGCTCTCTTCTTTCCTGTCTTCCACCGGCACTTCATGTATTTCAAAGAGAACCTCCTCGTCCACTGCATCTCCTCCATTGTTATTATTTCCACGTTGTTGTTTCTGTTTCACAACCTGTAGTATGCTAGTACGTCTACTTCGGAGGCCAAGGTCTCTCCTATCTCCATCCGGGTCCAAGGTATAGAGTCCTGGAGCATTCGGAAAAGGACGTACCTTTGCTGCTCTGCCATTGTAACCTCCGCCATAGAAAATTTCGATGGATTCTACTTCTTTCACGAGGTTCACTTTAGAGGCCATCCCTGAAAACTGATCCTCCAACTGTGCAAGTTGTGCTGTCACTTTTTCCAATTCCTTGTCAGCCATTTCAGGCACCAAGACCCAACCTTCATAGGTGAAGCCAAAAACAGTAGTCACGTTCTTCCTGTACGGCTGAAATCCAGCCCACATGTCTGTATTGGAACTTTTCGGCTGATAACCGGCTTCACCCGGTCCAAAAAGCTGCTCTTGCTCGTAGTCGGTCAAATCTACACCTCCAGAAACGGACCCGCCAGCGTTCTGCGCAACGCCGAGCTTCGTGTTCTGAACGGAAGGTTGTTTCGTGAAAACCTGGTTGTCGAGGAAGAGCTTCTGAGTGCAAAAGGCGTCGGAATACAAACCTAGTTCGTGAACGCGCCATCGGTCTATCATGGATTCATGCGCTACAATGCGGAATTGCTGCAAAGCTGCTGCAGGACGTTTGTTCCATGTCCCTACGCCCATATCGAAAAACGTCCCCCCAATGTCCCAACGTTCGCCTGCCCAGTAATCCAAGATCACACTGCGAGAACTGCGGTTCACTGCCGCGCTCTGCAGAATGCGCATACAGCGAATGTCAGTGAATTTCTCGTGAAAATTGAGTCCAAGTTCTAGAAACCCTCGATTCCTACAGGGGTCGAAGTCCTGAGCCATGTCCAGACAGTCTCCAATCCAAGCAGTCTCAGGGTCGCCATCAAAAGCGTGCTCGTTGCACCGAGACTTCTTCTCTACCTCGCACTGGATGCGCCTTTTTTCCATATTCACACCCTTATTCGTGTCGATTGGCGTACCTCCGTAAACGGATCGGAGGTTAGAGGTAACGTACGAGGAAGTAGGTCCTAGGTCCTGGAGTAGCACTTCTAGTTCTAGTTCTAGACCAGTCGTGTAGAAGATAATTGTCCTTTCATTGATTACGAATGGGAAAAGTAGACACGAAGATACTTCTTCTGCGTCATCATTATTTGTTGCGAAATTTTTACACAACACCTCTATCAGCATCAACTAATGAACAGCATCAAAGACAACTTTGGGTGCCCATAATCAACAAAGGATTGCTATACGCGTCGGCACAGTCTACCCGCTTGTACAATTCCAGTTCCTGTACTTCCCATTGTGTTACTACGTCCCCATTCCGAATCCGCCACACACTCTTCGCTGGAGGATAGTAGACTGCCCACTGGTGCGACTGGATGCCGCTGATATGTAAGCCAGAAAATTTCCAGACGCGACCGTCGTAGTACTCTAAATAGACGCTGGAAGAGTGGGATGAAGGGGGGGGGCAGTATAAGTCGATTATCTTCGCTGCCCATGTCACGATCATGTATCAGACATACATGCTGCTCAAAAAAAAAAATTATTCGGAGAACTAGCTGAGGATAAGAATATTTTTATTGAAATGTTGTTGAGAGAGTGAAAGTGTAGTTCACGGTGGGGTCGTAAAGTCAACTGAAGAAGATGGGTTTACATCTATTCCTGCCAACCTCGAGCTCAACATAACTCGCGAAAAACCGCGTCGATCTCCACATCCCGACTCGTGATCATTTTGAAACATTTGATGTCCATGTATTCGCCCAAAAAGTCCAACCCAATAAATGCCCAGCCAGGAGTACATTTGTAATGCTGCAGATGCGTCGCACAGCCAGCCTCTCGGTCCGTGGCCAAATATTTGGCGAGGGAGGTTAGAGACATCCAGCGATTGTGTTGAGTGGCCTAGTGAGCAGCTTGTATCCACTTCATGTTGCTTTCGATGTCGACCGAGCCAATACCGCATGTGCATATCTGTATCTATTTGAGTTCTCTGACAATAAAACATCCTACTGTCGCTTCATCAATGAGAAGACTCGGCCCTCATCAATCTACATCATCTTCGACCTCAGCATAACTGATCTGGTCCTGGTATTGCTCTGTAACTGCTTGTTTCGTCCACATCAAAAGCGGCAGCCCAACTATGTTTTTCGCAAGTGTTGATCAAATTACAGAGATAGTCCATCTGGGGTTCACTTCCGAAGGCTCTGGCGCGATCTCCTAACTGTTTCAGCGGTCCTAAGGCATGACGCGAGCAAACAGTGTCCAAGTGAAACTCCAACTCGTTCACTTGCCATCCTTCGCCTGCAGCATGAATCATTTCTTTTTCCATCTAAGCACAAGCAGACCAGTGGGGCTCCCCTTCAACTGAGTCTACACTTTCCCGGAACCCTTAACTCTAGGCCCTCCTTAAGCCGAAAGTGGATGGAAAAAGATGGAAAAAGCTACATTCATGCCATAAGTAAAGCTTTCATTCGCAAAGAGCCGCCACATAGCTTTCTCGTAGTTCGGAAATTGGACCCAGCGCCCAGGCCCAAAACTATCGTAATCCTGGATTGGCATGTACCTGTCACCGAGAAAAATCAAAGTGCGCAAACGCAGACTCAAGCTTTTGGGGGTGTCTCCTTGCCAAATCCGCAGACATCGTATGGTTGCCACAGGAAAACCTGGGTCCTCCGTGAGACGGACGACTTGAGGCTTGAAGCGTGTATGTAGTCCGATCCTGATCGTTTGCGCAAAAATCCCTCCGTTCTGTTCCTCACCTAAACTTAGAGCTGTCCATAATTCATCTTTCAAGTACATCCTTGAAATGTGTGGGGGAGTATTTTTCCCTTAGGATGATCATACTCCTCGTCCATACATTTCATCAAGAATGGATGCATGTCCAAAGATACGTTTCAAGGTACAGCCTTAATAAAGGGCGATAGAACGTCGAGGTGTCATTGTCAAAAGCGTTCCGGACGTGCTGTTGCGCGCGTCGCATGTTCAAATCGTGGTTGCCCTTAGACAAATGAATGCTCAATCAAGTCAGTGTGTGACTGCTCTGTAACTCATCCCCTTGTTCCACCCCTTTATTTTTCGATTTTCCATAACAAACGGATCCCCGAAGAGCATCTGACGGCACTGGTTATCCCAGAAAAGCTCGAGTTCGAAGACCCGCCATTCGTCCTTGATATACGCCAGATTTGTCACACCAAAGCTCCGCCCACAGTCATCAATCATGATGCCAGTGTAGGACTTACATCCTTCGTGAAGACTGTAGAGCGACGCTTCGTCGTCGAGCTCTGGGAAAAGATATTGGAGATGTTCGCTGAATTTCGAAGATCAAGATGTATTATATGGATAGTTTGAAATTGAAGTTGTACAACAAGTGCACGTGCTTACAATTTTCTTACTGCGCTACTCTTATTACACAAGACGCCCTCGGTGATCATGAATTGTTGTCGTGAAAGATTTACACTCAAATTTAGATGTTGTTGTTGAAACCATAACTAGCTGCTTGCATCGCCCGTTGAAGCTGGAGCTCCCTCTCAATGCCGAGATAATTGTCTTCAGAGGTTGTATTTTCTTCCTGTAGAAGAGCAAGAGGTCCTGGTCCTCCAGCATCTTGGCCTCCTTCTTCCCCTTCTCTTCTTGCGGTCCTAATTTTACGATGCTCCGCTTCATCCCGCGAAGAAAACGAAAGATCATAGTTGTCTGCTGAAGCAATTGTACTCTCTTGTCCGCCAAGTAGACCTGCAACAGCAACGACTGACAACAAGTAGATGAAGAAGATGATGAGCATCTTTCTGATTAGCAGGACAAGGTCACCAGGATTGGGACCTAGCTGTAATACAGTTACATCTCTAGCTGGTCAGTATATATCACCTGGATTGGGACCGGGTCGAGATCAGATGTGCTATCATCTAGCTGGAGCTGGTCTGCTTGCGGAATCACGCGTCCTCCTCTGTAAATCGTCATAAAACAGTTGTTCTGGTTCACTTTACTGAGGCAACCGCTGCAAAGAGGCGCACCACGACAGTTCAACCTCCTCCCACGCTTCGTGACGGAGAAAAAGCAAACAGATGAGTCGACTACGCTGAGCATCTCTCTTTTCACAACGAGGTGGTAGCTAATACACATTCGCCGTTTTCCTGCCCTTTTCAGCAGCAACCTTTGCTGCCCTTGTTATGGTGTGTATCACGGCCATGCATATGCATTCACTGCATCAACGGTGACATTTGTGAAGATTGATGCATACACTAGAAGTATCCAAGATGAATCATCACTGGGGACATGGGGGAACGGCGAATAATACCTACACTATCCAAGATAAATCGTCAGTGGGCAACGGGATGGACAAAATCGAAAATTAAATATGGATAAATCAATATGCATGGATTCTTTTCTTTCAAACACGACTCCACAGACAGATGAGTATTTGCTGCAATTGCAGCCCTTTTTCTCCATTTCCTAGATGAAGATGGACTCAGCCTCCAAGTGTTTGTTCTCCTCATCCCTCATTTTTACTCACGGATTTTTATAAGCTGTGTCGTCGTCTAAGAAAGCTGCAGTACAACCAGTTGCTCCCTCGCTCCCTCTCTTAAAGACTTATCCAAAATTTGCTTCACCATCACCGCCGCTTCGTCTTCGCCACCCACACAGCGAGCCAGTAAGATCGCCATCTGTGTTGTCTTTGGCTTCTGGTGCGCAATCAAAATCTTCGCCAGGAGTCTCACTGTCACTAGTAACAGAGGTCTAAAACCAAATATGATAGGCCAATATAATTCGCATCAGAGAACGAGCTGATTTTTTAGTTGTTCGAACAAGAAGAAGAATACGCTGTATTACAGATCATAAAAATCATTGACACAACTTTCCAAATTCGGGGACTCGCTTGATGAAGTCTGCGGCAACGCATATGCTTATCATTCATCAGGTAGTCCAATGCTTGTGGCCCCTGGTCTCACGATCTTTGTGTCTTACGCGACTGCAATCGGCCTTCCTAGAATTCATGCTGTCTTGTTTGCTCAATACAACTAAGTAAAACTAAAACCTCCACAACGTATAATCAGCTAATAGAATTAGACAAAATTATGATTGGTCCGGTAATTATAGCGGGTCGACTTTAGTTCCTAAATATATCAACCTACCACTTCCTCACATTTTTTTCTAATTACGATTAATAGCTGCTGCTTCAAAAAACTATTACTATTAATTTTAGTTCTACCGTTGATATTAGAATAGAATTTGTTTTTGTGCTCTATTAACCAAATAAATCAAAAAAAACGCTTCTAGTTAATCATCGTCCTCAGACGTCTCTGATGGTTATTCTTTACGACCACCAGCACAACAGTGTGTCACAAGGACGGCAGAGAAAGTACATATATAATCAACGTGGTTAATTATAACTAAGAACGTGGCTGATAAAGTGTGGCAGCGCAGCCATAGGCATCCGTTGCACACCCACAGATATATGACCACCAGACGAGTGAGGCACACGCACAGGTGAAAGTGCCTGCGACTGCGTTCAAGCGCTTTTCTGGCACTATACTCAGCAGTCCGTCAAGGTGCGCGTGCTCACTGCTTGCGAAACGAGGATCATCGCGTGCCTCCTTTCCAAGATTTGTCAGTGCCTCTAGCCAGAACTCGGCTCCAAAAGAGACGCCCGCTTTCTGTTTCACCTCGTCGTCCTCGTGGCTTTTTTCTAATAAAGTTACTACTTCTACTTCTACTAGTTCTACTGATGGTGCTCTAACTACCAAAACATTCTAGTTCCACTAAGGGCGTTTTTCTGGTACTACAGTCAACACCAAGGTGACGAGTTGCTAGTTCTATTTCTAATGTTTTTGTGGCAGTACTTTCAACACGGTCACTCCGTTTATGCGCGTAGTTAGGTCATAGTTTACGAACCGAGGATCCTCGCATACCTCATTTGAAAGATTTAACAGCGCCTCTAGCCAGAAGTTGGATCCTCCACTAGCAATAGAAGAGATGTCCGTTTTCATCAGATTCACCTGGTGTTGAGCGTCGTCGGTCATTGACGCATCAACGAGGACCCCGATTTTCTTCTTCTTCGCTTGTTCTCCGTCGATATAACTAGAAGAACCTTCGAAGATTACTGCATCCAACCATAGGCATAGAAGTCCAACAGCTGTGTCGCAGGTGATAACCGAGAAGTTTTCCTGTGCTGTTTTCCTCAGCCTCCTATTCATGACGCGGCATTCTTTTGGTGCTTCCCAAAGAGCAGTGCCGTAAACCTGGATCCCTTCGGAGTTTCTAGAACGCTTTTCGCCCACAGCTTTCAACACGGTCCGCCAGTAGCTTAGTCGACCGGATTCTTGTTGATTTGTATTAGCCCGGTCGTGGAGACAGGCGGCAACGTGCTTGTCCTTGAAACATTCTCTTATTGCCAGAATTAGAGTTCACTACAATGAATTGTAATTCACCCTAAAAATTATCATATCTTTTCGTATCCAACGCTAAGATCCCCAGAAGCAAGCTTGTGCAAATTAGAAAGAGGGCAACCGATAAAGTACAATACCTCAGGTGGAACAAGATGAATTATCGTGCCTGAGCAGCCTTAATGCAGCGTATGCGTATCTGACTCCCGCATACTTCCCATTAGACAGAATAGTCTGCAGCACCTGCATGTAGCGGGTAAACTCATGTCTTGCCTTGAAAAGGATCAAGATACCGGTCCGCACCATCTCCTGTCGGATCTTCTCAGGAGCGTACGCGCCGGCTAATCTTGTCACTGCCATTATTTCCTTGTGGACGTTTTCTCGACAAAACAGCGTTGAAAGGTGATCCCAGTGTCGTGCTGTCACAAACGCCTGAATGATGCTTTTTTCATCGGCGCCGTCTTCGATTTGGTCAGGGAAAAACACTGACTCCGCCGGCAGCGCTACCCTTGCATTCAGAATTGCAAGAGTGAGGCATGAATAGCCTTCGTAGTTGTAGATCGTGCGAAGCAAGCCGTCGTAGCCTCCTGCGCTCATATCCACGCTGTTTCTCTTTCCTTCGTCGTCTTGAAAGGTCAACAACTGTTTTCCGTACTCGGTGAAATATCCCTTTCTGCCCCATATAAACTCATGGTCACGACATTCAGCCCAAAGCGAACTCCATTCCTCGCTCGCATCGAGTTTCTTAGCACTCCAGGTAGTGATACGGAAAGGTCGGTTTCTTTCGCCCACACAGCAGCAAGCATTCCAACACTTTTCAAGCTTCTCACGAATGGCTCTGCTCTCCTTGTGAAAAGCGACATAATGCAAGTGAACAGTTGCAGGCATGAGCACAGGAGCTGGCCCATCAGATAGCATCGGCTGCTCCGAGGAGCCATGAAAACCAGGCGTCACTGGATCATCAATCGCATCCGCAAACTCTACTTTCTCCCGCCCCTCTCGAGAACTGTTCTCTTTCTCGCTGGGTGTCTCCTCAAGAAGCTTAGAGAACACGAAATCGTCACTCTCTAAATAAACGGATTCAGCCCTCGTCGTACTTTCCTCTTCGTGTCCGTTTTCCTTGGGCCCTGCTAGGTGGGATTCGCTAGAAGATGTAGAAGATCTTGAGTGAGGGTGCACTGATTCTGGTGTCAGGATTTCAATGAAGGGCCATGGCTTTTTGAGGACGACGCCCAATGCCTTCTTGACATCAACGCAACGGATCGAACCGTCCTCGTCGCGCAGCGGACAAGTCACTTCCGTAACTTCGCCAGCAAGATTCGTCAAACAGAATAAAGCCATATTTTTTTCGAATACCCACTCCACTTATTCTATCTTTCTTTCTTATGGATGGTGGTAAAAAAATGTTGCGATATGATAATATGATGCTGCGTAATCTACTTACGACAACAAGCAGAATACCCTTGAGTTATAGTTATACACCTTGTTTAGATATTTTTAGTGCTAGTGCTAGTAGCGGTCGATCATAAAGTACTTACCTTCGACTTACTTCTCATATTTTCTACGGTTTTCCCAAATCCGTTTGCGGATCAGTGACCCACGATTTCGGCGAAGTCAATAGTGATGGCGTGAATCTATTCGGCAATCTGCCCAAGATTTCCCTGGTGGAGAAGTCAATAATATACAATGCGAACGCCAAATGCTAGCTAAGAGTGGAAAAAGCGTGTTTATAGGGTGGGAATATGCTATGCATGTCACTATTCATTTCGCTCCTGAATATAGAGAAGCTGCAAGAGCAGCATGAATTTGTTGAATCCTCTCTAGTAGCCATACACTGTGCGTACAGAAGTTGTCAGTCCTCGTAGTCCCTGACTATTGCGTCTTGAAGAGGAGGAATAGCTCGTGAGGTCTTTAGACGTGACGCTCTCGACACTCTCATCGCTCGTATCGGTCCAGAGAAAAGCAAAGACGAAGAGGAAGGAGAAAGTTAAAAACTAGATAGAGAAAAGCAAAGACGAAGAGGAAGGAGAAAGTTAAAAACTAGATTAAAAACCATAAATAGCAGATGTCTCAGCCCTTGGGCCCCACCCCCCAGGCCCTAGGTGGAGGACACAGGGGGGGGTGGGTGCTCGCACTGACTCTAGCCCACCAATCCTGACAAGACCAAGGGCACCGGTTCACCGAGCCAGGATCTAGAGCCAATCGCATCCAACCCCTTGAACCACAGAGATGGCCGTATTGAAAAGGCCATCAGGTTCCATTAGCTACTTACAGGTAATGTAGAGCAGAAAGCAGCGCGTGGCCAGAAGATACTCTAACCTAATTCTTGTCTCCCTCGTGCACACCGACTAACGAAGGGAAAGCGAGCGACAGAAGCGATAAGCAATCAGAAAAGAATGAGTCAATTCGAAGCGCAAAGATATACCAAAGCGATCACTTGAGGACCAATCGAATGCGAAGACCACTCTAGCATCACTTAGCACTCCAAACAGACGAAGAAGCCACTCGTTACAGCAAAGATCCATCATCACGATCACTCAACAACCAGTTAAATTCAAAAAACATACTAGAAACGCTCAGCACTCCAGACAGACAGAGAGATCACTCGTTACAGATCTTCTCAACAATGCTTACAAATCAACACCCGGGAAAGCAGTTTAACGATTATCGAACCTCAACTGACGACATAGTTCAGTTGCCGTTGAGTAAGGCAAGAAGGACGACGCTATAACAAAAAGAATGGGATAGGGATATCAGTACAGGCCACTCTTCAAAATCACAACACCATCTGACGACATCTAATTTCTCAGATTTCTCAGATCTGACGACAGCCAGATTTGACTTAAGCGTAGGCACCAATAATTTGTCTTCTTGTCCATCGGGGATCTTCAATTCGTGAAAGTCTTGATGATAGAAGTAGAACGGCCGCTACCTAATCTTCTTTTCAGATTTCCCTAGGAATGCAAAGCGGAGAGAAAAGTGCTTGAGCATGTGACCCAAGTAAGTATTAGCTTCCTCTTATTTGTTTCTAATTACAATTAGCTGCTGCTTCAAAAAATAATTACTATCTTAGTTCTACCGTTGATATTCTAGCTCTACTATAGTTAGTTTTTGTGCTCTATTTTTACAATAGATAATACAACTTATTTCGCACGAAGTTCAGTGCAGACTGCCTACTGGCGTCATAGAGCTACGTCACGATGAAGCCTCACGCAGGGTTGTACTACTGAAAACGAATCGAAGCGACAAGTATCTGAACTAACACTAAGTAGTTGAAAATGTAAACATTGAGAAACAACTGGAGGACTCACCAAAATAAAAAAAAAAACGCTTTTAGTTAAGTAATCATCGCCATACGTCTCTGATGGTCATTTTTTACGACCACCAGCGAGACAGGAAAGTTCCCAAACAGTGTCGTGTCACAAGGACGGCACCAGAGAAAGTCTAAATATAAATATAATCAACGTGTTTAACTATAACTAAGAACGTGGTTGATAAAGTGTGGCAGCGCAACCATAGGCATGCGTTGCCCACCCACAGATATATGACCACCAGACAAGTGAGGCACACGCACAGGTGAAAGTGCCTGCCGTGCGTTCAAGCGCTTTTCTGGAACTATACTGAACACTCCGCCAAGGTGCGCGTGCTCACTGCTTGCGAAACGAGGATCATCGCGTGCCCCCTTTCCAAGATTTGTCAGTGCCTCTAGCCAGAACTCGGCTCCAAAAGAGACGTCCGTTTTCTGATTCACGACCTCGTCCTCATGACTTTTTTCTAATGAAGTTACTACTTCTACTAGTTCTGCTGATGCTCTATTTACCAAAACATTCTAGTTCCACTAAGGGCGTTTTTCTGGTACTACAGTCAACACCAAGGTGACGAGTTGCTAGTTCTAATGTTTTTGTGGCAGTACTTTCAACACGGTCACTCCGTTTATGCGCGTAGTTAGGTCATAGTTTACGAACCGAGGATCCTCGCAGACCTCATTTGAAAGATTCAACAACGCCTCTAGCCAGAAGCCGGATCCTCCACTACCAATAGAAGAGATGTCCGTTTTCATCAGGTTCCCCTTGTGTTGAGCGTCGTCGGCCATTGACGCATCAACGAGGACCCCGATTTTCTTCTTCTTCGCTTGTTCTCCGTCGATATAACTAGAAGAACCTTCGAAGATTACTGCATCCAACCATAGGCATAGAAGTCCAACAGCTGTGTCGCAGGTGATAACCGAGAAGTTTTCCTGTGCTGTTTTCCTCAGCCTCCTATTCATGACGCGGCATTCTTTTGGTGCTTCCCAAAGAGCAGTGCCGTAAACCTGGATCCCTTCGGAGTTTCTAGAACGCTTTTCGCCCACAGCTTTCAACACGGTCCGCCAGTAGCTTAGTCGACCGGATTCTTGTTGATTTGTATTAGCCCGGTCGTGGAGACAGGCGGCAACGTGCTTGTCCTTGAAACATTCTCTTATTGCCAGAATTAGAGTTCACTACAATGAATTGTAATTCACCCTAAAAATTATCATATCTTTTCGTATCCAACGCTAAGATCCCCAGAAGCAAGCTTGTGCAAATTAGAAAGAGGGCAACCGATAAAGTACAATACCTCAGGTGGAACAAGATGAATTATCGTGCCTGAGCAGCCTTAATGCAGCGTATGCGTATCTGACTCCCGCATACTTCCCATTAGACAGAATAGTCTGCAGCACCTGCATGTAGCGGGTAAACTCATGTCTTGCCTTGAAAAGGATCAAGATACCGGTCCGCACCATCTCCTGTCGGATCTTCTCAGGAGCGTACGCGCCGGCTAATCTTGTCACTGCCATTATTTCCTTGTGGACGTTTTCTCGACAAAACAGCGTTGAAAGGTGATCCCAGTGTCGTGCTGTCACAAACGCCTGAATGATGCTTTTTTCATCGGCGCCGTCTTCGATTTGGTCAGGGAAAAACACTGACTCCGCCGGCAGCGCTACCCTTGCATTCAGAATTGCAAGAGTGAGGCATGAATAGCCTTCGTAGTTGTAGATCGTGCGAAGCAAGCCGTCGTAGCCTCCTGCGCTCATATCCACGCTGTTTCTCTTTCCTTCGTCGTCTTGAAAGGTCAACAACTGTTTTCCGTACTCGGTGAAATATCCCTTTCTGCCCCATATAAACTCATGGTCACGACATTCAGCCCAAAGCGAACTCCATTCCTCGCTCGCATCGAGTTTCTTAGCACTCCAGGTAGTGATACGGAAAGGTCGGTTTCTTTCGCCCACACAGCAGCAAGCATTCCAACACTTTTCAAGCTTCTCACGAATGGCTCTGCTCTCCTTGTGAAAAACGACATAATGCAAGTGAACAGTTGCAGGCATGAGCACAGGAGCTGGCCCATCAGATAGCATCGGCTGCTCCGAGGAGCCATGAAAACCAGGCGTCACTGGATCATCAATCGCATCCGCAAACTCTACTTTCTCCCGCCCCTCTCGAGAACTGTTCTCTTTCTCGCTGGGTGTCTCCTCAAGGAGCTTAGAGAACACGAAATCGTCACTCTCTAAATAAACGGATTCAGCGCTCGTCGTACTTTCCTCTTCGTGTCCGTTTTCCTTGGGCCCTGCTAGGTGGCATTCGCTAGAAGATGTAGAAGATCTTGAGGGAGGGCGCCCTGATTCTGGTGGTGTCAGGAGTTCAATGAAGGGCCATGGCTTTTTGAGGACGATGCCCAATGCCTTCTTGACATCAACGCAACGGATCGAACCGTCCTCGTCGCGCACCGGACAAGTCACTTCCGTAACTTCGCCAGCAAGATTCGTCAAACAGAATAAAGCCATATTTTTTCGAATACCCACTCCACTTATTCTATCTTAGTTTCTTATGGATGGTGGTAAAAAATGTTGCGATGTAATATGAAGATGCTGCGTAATCTACAACAACAAGCAGAATACCCTTGAGTTATACACCTTGTTTTGATATTTTTAGTGCTAGTGCTAGTAGCTGTCGATCATAAAGTACTTAGGCTTACTTCTCATATTTTCTACGTTTTTTCCAAATCCGTTTGAGGATCAGTGACCCACGATTTTGGCGAAGTCAATAGTGATGGCGTGAATCTATTCGGCAATCTGACCAAGATTTTCCGGGTGGAGAAGTCAATAATATACAATGCGAACGCCAAATGCTAGCTAAGAGTGGAAAAAGCGTGTTTATAGGGTGGGAATATGCTATGCGTGTCACTATTCATTTCGCTCCTGAATATAGAGAAGCTGCAAGAACAGCATGAATTTGTTGAATCCTCTCTAGTAGCCATACACTGTGTGTACAGAAGCTGTCAGTCGTAGTCCCTGACTATTGCGTCTTGAAGAGGAGGAACAGCTCGTGAGGTCTTTAGACGTGACGCTCTCGACACTCTCATCGCTCGTAGTATCGGTCCAGAGAAAAGCAAGGACGAAGAGGAAGGAGAAGGTTACCTAGATTAAAAACTAAATAGCAGATGCTTCAGCCCTTGGCGTCCCACCCCCCAGGTCCTAGGTGAAGAACACAGGGTGGGTGGGTGCTCGCACTGATTCTAGATCGCCAATCCTGACAAGACCAAGGGCACCGGTTCACCGAGCCAGGATCTAGAGCCAATCGCATCGAACCCCGTGAACCACAGAGATGGCCGTATTGAAAAGGCCATCAGGTTCCATTAGCTACTTACAGGTAATGTAAAGCAGAAAGCAGCGCGTGGCCAGAAGATACTCTAACCTAATTCTTGTCTCCCTCGTGCACACCGACTAACGAAGGGAAGGCGAGCGACAGAAGCGATAAGCAATCAGAATTCGAACCGCAAAGATATACCAAAGCGATCACTTGAGAACCAATCGAATGCGAGGACCACTCTAGCATCACTTAGCACTCCAAACAGACGAAGAAGCCACTCGTTACAGCAACGATCCATCATCACGATCACTCAACAACCAGTTAAATTCAAAAAACATACTAGAAACGCTCAGCACTCCAGACTGACAGACAGAGAGATCACTCGTTACAGATCTACTTATCAACAATGCTTACAAATCAACACCCGGGAAAGCAGTTTAACGATTATCGAACATCAACTGACGACATAGTTCAGTTGCCGTTGAGTAAGGCAAGAAGGACGACGCTAAATAACAAAAAGAATGGGATAGGGATATCATTATCAGTACAGGTCACTCTCCAAAATCACAACACCATCTGACGACATCTAATTTCTCGGATTTCTCAGATCTGACGACATGCAGACTTGACCTAAGCGTAGGCACCAATAATTTGTCTTCTTGTCCATGGGGGATCTTCAATTCGTGAAAGTCTTGATGATAGAGGTAGAACGTTTCCGAATTTTCTCTTCAGATTTCCCTACCTTCCCTAGCATTCCTTTGAAGCGGAGAGAAAAGTGCTTGAACATGTGACCCAAGTGAGTACTGGCTTCGTTATCACCTGCACAGCCCTCCGCATGTTGAGCTTACGCATACGAAAGCAACAGCAGAAGAAAACAAGCTACCTTATCCTCAAAATATGCAAATGAGTGTAAGTAAGGTTAGGCATTTGGATCCTTCATGTCATGTCATGTTACCTCTTGTTACGTTTATTTGTGAGTATAAATTTTATATTGGCGGGGCCGTTCAGCCACCCTGTACCTTCTAAATAGAAGAGCAAGATGGCCGAATCATGATTATAGACTATCAAGTATACTGTAAACAAGAACTCTAATCTTCACGACATTGCAAAGAGCACGAGGTTTCCAGATGAAATATCCTACTTCTAAACAAGAACTTTAATCTTCACATTGCAAAGAGGCTTCCAGAAATGTCCCTTCATCCAATGAGGATCCTCTGGCACGACTTCCTTGATCAGATTCTTCAATGCATCCCTCCAGAAGTCAGCTTGTGAAGTCGTTATCAAGGAGGAGACCGTCTTCATGGAGGACGTCTTGTTTACAACATCGTAGTATTCAGCTTCAGCTTCTGGTTCCGAGTTGTAAACATGATCTGCCGCTTGAATCTCCTCGATCATAGCTTCTTCAAGGATAGCTTCTATCCAAAGGGCTGAGAGCACACGGAAGGCCTCTGTATACCCAGCGAAAAATAGCTCGTCGGCCGCAGCACTTTCTTGTTCTTGTGCTGCTCGTCTAGCTTGTCCGAGAACATCTACTCCAGCTAAACTTAAGTTCCGTCGCTTATTCCCAACAGCTTCTAACACTCGTAACCAGTACGAACAGGGGACTTGCTGTTCTGGATTGTCATTGCGGGTGTTCTCGCTGTCGTGCCAATGATCTCCGACGTCTCCTCTTCCAGCAGCAATCCGATCCAGGAGACAGGCGCCGACCATTTTCATCTCCTGATCCACTGCGATCTTTTTCAGTTCCTGATCGAAGCCCTCGTTCTTTCTGTCCACTACGTAGCTGACGCCTGCCCGCTTGCCGTTCGACAGCGTTGTTTGCAACATTTGCGTCCACCGGTTACACGCCTCTTCTTCCTCCACACTCTCAACCACTGCGAAAGCGAGGCCTTCCATCAAAGTGGGGTCCTGCAGAACGCGCCTCTCCTTTGTCACAGACGGAAAGTCGCGAAAAATGAGTTCGCAGAGATCGACGCTAGCCTTAGGACGCCGTCCTCTGCTGAGTGTTGAATCTACGAAATCTAATAAGAAAGGACGACGAAGGCGAAGGGTGCCTTGTTCTTCGAGAGGACGACTAATATCCTCCTCCTCACTTGTAGTACGGAGTATCGATACCCCACTTATTGACGGGTGTCCGTATCCAGCCAAAAAAGCGTCTGTTATTCCAAGTCGTGTGTGACGATCCTGTCGAGAGAGCAGCTTGCAAAGACGCTTCCAGTTACGGCTTGCAACAAACACTTCAATCATTAGATCTACCGCGTTCGCGTCCTCCCTGAGAGTCATATCCTTGGACACTTCTGCCTCCCCTTGAAAAAGGAACCAAGGAAGCATGGTTCTGAGGATGCTTCAGCGGTTGCCTTAAAAACATTGTTTTTGCTGCCTGCTTAACATCTTCTCTCACGTGGGCTTCTGCATTACTGAAATTGACGGCTCCGTCTGGGAGTGGTGCGCTCGCCTCCAAAATCGCTTGCAGAATACGAGGATATGTCCCCCTCTGGTGCAAAATGTGAAGTAAGCTATTCACGCCACCTAGATCCAGGTAGATTCTCTTCTCAGGATGGCTCAGGCGCACATAATATCTCAAGTCAAAGTTAGAATTTAGAGGAAATCGAAATGCATTTTGGGACAACTCATCGGGGAAACGGAAATAAGGAAATTCATCATGGGTCTCATCTTCATCTTGGTCCCAGTTTTCGCTCATTGAAAAATTGGACGAAGCCACAAGCGCGGCACCCCCCAGACAAAGATGCTGACAATGGGTGATGGATTTCTTCTAGTCTTAACAAAGTCTTCCACTATTACATCGCGACATTCTGCCCAGAGCGTGAGCCAATCCTCATTTTTAAAGGTCGACACTCATTGGTCACTCATGCTGAAGGGACAACTTTCCCCTTCTTAGGCTACTTGATGAGTTTCCCCTTTTCCCCTTAGTTTTCCCCTGTTCTCTCCAGGGGTCTCCTCTTCTGTGTCAGTGACCCCAATTTAAATGGTGACCAATGAAAGTTGAGCCTTAACATTTTCTTCCAACTTCCGAGGATCCCACTCAAACTCATTATCCGGTCGTATATTGTTATATCGGCGATACCTGCAAGCCTCCCAGCAGATCTCAAGTAGCTCTTAGAATATGACGAGCATGGAGCAACAACATGAGAAACACTAATGCAACATCAGAAACATCGTCGAGATTATTGGATCGCCGGGGTTGATTGGAGAGCGACGACGTCTATCTCTTCGGCAATCTGCCTAAGATTTCCCTGGCGACTTCTCCCCGCCAATCTAGCTTGTTGTAGTTGTTGAATGAAGAATATAAGGAATATAAACTTGTTTTAGTTTTAGAAATATTTTGCAAGCGGGTGCGGCTGCGGGAAGGTCTCAGCACGCTTCAACAAGATCAAAAACAAAATCCAATTCTCCTGATAAATGTTGAAGTTGAACATGAAGAACGTGCCTGTGCAGTTTTTCACAGTAATAGAGCGTCTCAGTTAGAAGTTGCTATTGGCGGGAATGCCACAGCCACAGTCACATGATGAATGTCTTTCAAATTATCAAAATCAACATCTAGTTCTATTTTATTGAACTGCCTTAATTTTTTTTGATCTCTTTGCTTTTCTTGCCGAGAACAACGTAATCCAAATCAACAACGTGTGCGTGTCCTCCAGGTGAGTCTTCTTCGAGGACTCTGCCATCGTCATTTTCGGATGAATATACGATCTCACTCTCCTCCAAATAAGGAGAAGAATATGAGTCGTCTGTCGTGGTCTCATCATGAGCAGAGGCGTTCTTGGGCTCTTTCTTTTTGTTGCTAATCGTGTTGCGACTCGTCCCCTCTTCACACTGTTCATCTTCTACGTGTATTTCCGTCCCTTCAAGATTTTGAGACCTAAGTGCGACATCTTCTTGGTCGTGTTGACTCCAATCTTCACCGTGTTGACTCCTGTGAGGACTTAGAATGCCCACAAATTGCCACCTTTGTCCGATTCGATTAGCCAATGCCTTCTGTACATCGACGCAACAAATCGTACCGTTGTCGCGAAGAGGACATGTCACTTCGACAACGTCCAAAGCGAGGTTTGTTAGACGGAAAAGGACCATTTTCAAGTAAACTCTGCGAATGCGAATCGGAATCTACGTATTCTCATAGAAGAGCAATAACGTGTAGTTAAGCGTGAGCTAAGTGCCAGAAAGAACAATAAATTAGGAGATGGAGGTAACGATAAGTGCCAGGAAGAACAACAATAAATCAGGAAGGAGGTCAAGCAGGTGATTATAGAAAGAAAGATATTGATATTTTTGTAGAAAAAAATGTGCGTCGCGGATAACTAGAACTACATCTTGTTAAAGAAGATAAAGCAGATGTGACCTTGTTCAAGGAGGCGACGGGCGGGTCGCCGGTCGGGGTCGTGTAGTTTAAAAGGAGCCAAAGCCAAAGCCTCCACCTACGGTATCTTGTTCTCCATCTTTGAATAATTGCTCGAATCGAAAATTGGACCAATGTGACACAAAAATGAGAGAGGACCGGTTTCGAAAGGTTGCTGGTTGACGCCACAAGGACGGCTCAGAACCCTCGATCAGCGCAAGACTAGATCAGGATCGTTCTCGTGAATTGACAACACAATCAGCGTGAACCCTCTAATGGATCGCCATTTTTGATCGTGTCGTGATTGTCATCTTTTGTCTCTGTTAATCATACTTTTCCATCACACTGGTAGGTATGTCTATGTCTACTTATGGTAAAAATGTAACCACGTCATGTGCGTGCCCCTGATATGACCCTTCTTGGTCACAGTCCAGACAGAATAGCAGCCGACACAGATGTCAACTCCCACAACAAGTACCCAGCCAGGCCAATGGCGATCCCTCTCCACTGCCCCACGGGCCCGAAGGAGACTGAAGGGAAGAGAGGGGAGAGAAAACACAAGTCGCCCAGCTGTTAGCCTGACCATAATGAGCATCTACATCACACGCTCACGCATCTGCCAAGTTGTACGTAGCTTTCGACCTCGAGATGAGCAGCTTAGTGCATTATGCAGCGTTCAAAGCACGGCCACGTCTCTTGTCACGCCTCTTGTCATCGAGTATCTAAGGCGCTGAGCGTTTGAGCAAGCGGCGCCTTGTCAACTCGATTGTCAAGGTGATCATGACACTCGCAAACACCTTCCACGTGGCGCCTTAATGGTCAACGTCTTCCATCCAACTCCCAGCTTGCAACTTGGCGCCGGACACGTGGAGATGCGTCGGGTATGGCCTCACTGGACGACCGTCAGGGTTGTCGACTCCTGACTTTTTCAGGCCCATTTTGGGCTTGGAACCAAGTTTCACAGTCATCGAACAGCTTATCATATAATTATGCTGTGTTCAAAGCACGACCACGTCTAAAAAGTCTAAGGCAAAGGCCGATGGGTTTCTCTCTACCATTGAAAAGTGTTGTGGTCCACCGCATAGAGGTTCGACGAGGTGCTTAGTATTAATGCAAAGCTTGCTAGGGTGACCTAGAACGAAGAACAGCGAATAAAATCGATGTTGATGTTGATGGCCCACTACCATGACGATGTTCTTGATGTTGCCCTGCAGGTGGTCTTCTAACTATCTTTCAAAACGTCAATAATTTGAGTCCATTAAAAAGGACCTCACGATTAGAGATACGTACTCACCAAGTGTGATGTCGCGCCTTTCTTCCAACTTGTAGATTGAATCAGAACTACTTCTGAAGATATGCCTGGGTATGCAATTATTACGCTTTTCAACATATCTAAATGCTACGCACACTTCTTCTACTGTGAAATCTTCAGACATGCCGTGTCATTAGATTTGTCAAAGAACGTCGAATCAATCTGTAACGGTGGTCGGGAACAGGAACTGGAATTGGCATACAGATGCATCAGCATCACATATACGTATACCCACTGTACAAAGATAACTAAACAATCTCAAGTAGTAGACATCATGAAAAATTTGCAGGGCATCATAGCTTCAGACCTCAACTTCTTCTTCGGAAACGGACACGATCGTTGTGGAAGCATCCTCCCCTCCGTCGATGGAGCCTATGATCTTGTCCGAAATAAAAGGATGGATGCCAGCACCACTAGTAGCACTAATATTACTAGTAGTATTATCTTTATCGGTACTAGTAGTAGAAGTACTATTTGTAGTAGGAAAGAAGTTCATAGTACTCAACTGCAAGCCTACTGCATTTGCACTCCCTAAGCATTTCACTTCTTCCTGCTCTTGACTCGAGGAGCAAGGTTCTGAAGAGTAGGTGCCCTCAGCAAAATCTGATGTAGCGCTAGCGGTCGTTAGTACTTCTTCTGTACTACAAGAACTGGTGCAAGAACTATCTCCCCCACTTGTTGCATCGTCGCCACTAGCTGTACTCGTCGAAGATGCGGCAATATCTTGTTGGAATTCCAGTCCAGTGGCTGTAAAGAGAGGAGCACTGAGCAGCCCAGTGAAAGTATTTTTCAGGAGCAAGGACCCCGAAGAAAATGACCCACCAGAGGAAGAACTCATGTTAGAACTATAAAAGAAATCCATCTACTTCACGCGCATCCTGGAACCCTTTCCCCCTTCAAAACGGTCTCAGGAAGCCTGTGAAGATGGATTTGTGGCAGCCTTAATCATGAAACTAGGAAACTTGTTGCTGGTATCTGCATCTGGTCCGGTTGATAGTCCGGATGACTCAGTAGTTGCTTCGTCCCCTGAAGTTTGCCCTTCATGATGTCCTACTCTTGGATCAACAGTGTGGTCAGTGGTGACAGTGTGGCTCGGGTCCTCTGCAGTGAAGGAAAACACGAATTTCGATGTTGCACCATCAGCACTGCTACTAGAAGAAGACGTCAAAAAAGAAGTGGATGACGGTGGTGCGGAAGTGCTAGTAGAAGACGTTGGCAGGACGTTAATCCTTTTCGCGGGAGAAAAGACCACTGGTGTCGGTGCTGATAGTGAAGATAGAGCAGTAGAACTAGAACTAGCAGGGGGTGTTTGCTCAGCATGATCGCAGCTCGTTCCTCCAAAATCCTCTGTCTCGCTCTCGTGTTTCTCATCGCCTGAAAGAGCTTCTTCACCCTGGCCTGTAGTGGCAGCACGACTAGATGTAGCTTCAATTATTGCAGAACTCGAAGAGTCCGCTGTTCTAGACGGCAACTGAAATATGTCCTCCTTCGGACCCGTTGATGGTATTATTTGGATTACGGGTTTCCCAGCCGCAGGCTTGATACCTAAAAAAGCTCTATACTTGCTCTGGCAGGTTGCGCATCGAGCTGCAGGAAGGCCCCCACGCAAAGAGGGGAGGATGCGCGCTCGCATCAAGCATGGCTCCCCATTGAATCCAGGACAGCGGATGATAGCGCGAGAACTAGCGAGCTCGAGCTCCTCTACGCGATCTAAAGGGAGATGGTTAAGAACAAGAAAGTAGACAGAGGGGATAATCAGATATGATTGACGAGACCATACAGTTACTGATGAGGAGTATGGAGGGAAGAAGAAAAGCTATATTATAGAGCAGTTTATAAGGGTTCCAGGTCTGGAATGGCATGGATCGAATGGCACGAATGGCACGGATGGCGGGGGCGCAATCCGTGACCGCGATCGACCTCGCCATTCGTCCCATTCGTGAACCAAATAGACCCTCGAGAGCGGGGCGCCCTTCGGGCGCCCTGCGTTCCGACGCGTTGCTCTCCCGACTGGGTTGCCACTTCCTGCGCGATGCTCTACGCCGACCGCCAAGAACCCCGCGGGCGCGGGGCGCCCTTCGGTCGCCAAGCCCTGCACTCAGCCAAACGCACACCCCTCACACAGTTCCAGTAGGTGCCAAGGCTGCCCACCCCGCTACGGGCGGGGCGCCATGCTTCGGCGCCACCTCTTCCCTTCTTCGTCGTCACGATATAGCTTCTCCCATGGGCGGAATCACTTGCATACGACCGACATACTCGGCAAGCGAATGAGACCAGGGGCGCCAGCTGGCGGAACCCTGTCAACCTGTGCCATTCGTGCCATTCGTGACACATTTGGGGTCTGTTGGGGTGTGCCATTCATGCCATTCGTCCCATGCGCCATTCGTGCTATAAACTGTCCTACTATAAGTATAAATGATAATAATCAGAAGATGAATTAAATAACGTCAACAGTGGAAACATACACATGAGAAACGCAGTACCTGCCCTCAAGTACTCCGCATAGGGGAAGTTTGCTTGCTGTTCCTCCGTCTGCTCCCCCCCATACGTGCGTGCTTTCTCTTCAATAGCCTCTATCTGCGTAGCCAACTCTCTCAAGGGGGTGGCGTCGACACCTGAAGATGTCTTGTTACAGAAGTGGGCCATTTACTGTTCTCTGTCGCTGGTTATTCATTGCTAGCTTACTATCGATGATCGATCTATGTATGATTCTATTCGATTTTGTACTATCATTTTTGTAAAAGGTAAAATATACCTTCACTCAACGTCTTGCATGCGAATAGTCCAGTGGCTGCACTGATTCTTTTTGCGAAGAATTGGAACTCTATTTCCATCTGCATAGGGAAAGAATGGTGTCCGTGCGGAGGATTCTTGTAGCGTGGCATTGGTGGATTCGGGTTATGAAAGCGTCCAAGGGTAGGAATTTTTACTCTACTGAATGATTATCTTCAAGGTAATAAAGGTTGCTAGTTAATGAAACCTTTCTAGTTATAATGAAACCTCTCTAGGACTAGGAGATATCTGTTACTGAATAACCTACTAACTAGATATCTGTTACTAACTAGATATCTGTTACGAACCAGGAGATTTTAAGAGAAGAAATAGCCTACCTATGAGTTAGTTTTAGAAGTTTTTCTCTCTTACTCGCATGATCTAATCCTTGGCGTCTTGGACTTGGTACAATAGGTCCAGGAGTAGAAGTTGTGACAGGATGAATTAGGGTACGTAGTCGACATTGATGCCATCATTTTTTTGAAAAATGCTATAGAAGCAAGGCGGTAGAAGGTTTCAATTTTGTTCATAAAAAGATTCAAAACGAAAATGCAGCATCTTTAGCATTTCGAACGCATCATCAACCCAAACCGGACATTTCGATAGCTGTTCGTTGGCCTTTCTTTCAGCTTCTCTCAACCGTTCAATTTCCACCTCCAGCGCCGCTATTCGCGCAGCCTGCTGGTCTACTAAGAGTGATGGACCAGGCAAAGTAGTTACGGGAGTACTTTGCGACGTCTCCGGTTCAGCTTTTGATGCTGTCGTACTACTACACGAGAACGATGTAGAAGATGTACTCCATGTTGAACAGTTCGTAGGATCTTGACTCGTTCTTCTCCCATTCTCAGTTTGTTCATCAGTGGAGGTCCTCGTATCCGCAGCACCGCCACCAGGATCATGTTCATCTGGTATGGCAGAGTCAGTTGACGAGGACTTCGATCGTAGCATTTCGTCTTCTCCAGCTCCGCCAGGATCTTCTAATACTGGTAAATCTGCACCACGACGACCTGCTAAAGGCGGGTCTAAGACTTCGTTTCTGCTCTGCATATCGACGAAGACTAGCTTTGTGCTGGGCGTAGTCGTCAATGGCGACGAAGAGGAAATGTTGGGTCTTGATGATGTTCCAGATGATGTGCCAGATCCAGCTATGGTTTTGTTACTCGTGGTTAATGGTGACGATGACGCATTGCTTGTCAACGGAGACGAGGAGGACGTGGCTCCTCCTTTGGTCTCACGGCTTCCACCGTCAAGTAGTAAACTATCGACGCCTGCTCCAGTCATATCAGTCGGCGAACTCTGTATGCTGCCACTCGAGGACGCAGCAGGACTGGAATTGCGACTATTGCTTCGCGATTTCCACCCACGCCCTAGACATGATAGTGAGTTACGTAGTTTGCTGGATGAATTGCTTAGCTTATTCGAAGACGTAGAAGACTCGGTCTCGTCTGGGTCGTTATTTGGATCGTTGACATCGACTCCAACTGCTGAGCTCGTCTGGGCATTGGCGTTCTGAAGCAAGAGACTCCTCGTCGTGATGTGCTGGTGCTCTCCTACGCCTCCCTGCTCCTGTACGATGTTATTGAGGTCCACCTCCCTTCCACGAGAAGTAGAGAAGCTGGGAGACGGCGTCCCTAGAGCTCCTGAGGCGTCTTTTCCCAATCCGTCTGGGCTGGAAGTGCCATTTTTTCCAACCAATGGTGATGGCATGTTGACTTTTCTTTCTACTTTGCACAAAAATTATTCATAACACAGCACTGAGTATCAGTATTTTTAGAAATGTGATGCACGGTTGTGGTTTAAAAAACTCGTTCTTGAGACAGTCTTACTCTTATGTGATTCTTCAATGTTGTAGCTTCTGAATTCATAATGCGAATGTAGTCGTTCTCGAACAAGAATGAGCATCTTCCTCTAGTACTACTACGACTACGTTCCTCTTAACTGGAAAATAAAAATTTCCTCATCAAAAGAAAAAGTGTCAATCTGCAACTCGAAAACAAAACTCTAGTTGAGTAGATTGATAAGCTCTCCACCACGCTGTCGGCCACTCGAGAAGACATCACGTTGGCGCTGAGAGACAAAGAAAGTCCCAATCGTGGTGAATATCTGCACCTCATCTCAGTCCTCGAGGAGGCTTTAATAGAAGTAGGGACAGCGGACAGCCAGGTTTCCTATTTATACAAGTTGTGGACGTGTGGATGTGGGACATCCACATGTAAGCTACCGCTTTATCTGAGCACGAGCTTATATGAGGTTGTTGTAGTGTGTGAGAAAACAGAGAGAATCACCGCAAGGGTCGTCATAGGGGAAGCAATTTCAGGGAGATGGATACCTCAATGCTCAATGCGATCCTTGAATCCAAAAAGGTGCTTAAATGGGGTTGTGTTGGTGTGTGTTCGGCACGTGGTGGTCTTAGACACAGGCGACACATACGTGCAAGACAAATCTAAATTTATTGCGACAGGAGACTCCAGGAGTAAGAATACAAGTACGAGTATGTAGCTACGTGGAAAAAATTCTAGAATCGTAGACATAGTTGTTTCAGCAAGAAGATGTTGTCAACCTTGCTTCTAAACGCTGACAAAGCCACAAGGGTGTGTAGGATACTGCTCGATGCACAGCTGTGAAATGATGCTTTCGGTCAGCGTCAGAAGTTGTGAAACTATAAGTGATGTCAAACTTGTGATACAGATGCATATCCTTGGAGCAGCTTATTTAGCAGATGTTTTAGGCGATTTTCTTTTTGGACAACATGTTTCTACCTCCAACTACCTTTTTCATCTTGATCCTATAACAAAAATAAATATGTCACCAGACAGTATCTAAATTATATATCACCAGTAAGTGTACTAAGACAACAACAGCATGAAATCACTTCTCCTTCTTCTCCTCTGGTGGAGCATCTTCCTTCTTTTTGGCTTCCTCATCCTTCTCGTTCTCTGCGGCCTCATCGCTACTGCGCGAACTGCTTGGAGGTTCGTCCTTTCCATCTGTTTCCTTTTCGTCCCCGTCAGCACCATCTTTACCCTTTTTGTCCTTCTTTTCCTTCTTCTCCTTCGACCATTAGAGACTAACATCATCATCATCAACTTATTCTAATTATATGTCCATCTTCAGGAGGACGAGTAGAATTTTGATACAGTACGATGGAACAAGACGGGTGAGATCCATATGATCCTCATTCTAGTTGTGGGGGGTGGACAATCATCTAGTCTGTACAGCGATTCATCTTCTTGTAGTACAACTACAATACAATCTATGTATACATGTTATAATGCGGTCGTGGTAGTTACATACATACTATTCTGTTCTACCTAACTGGGTCTAAGATTCAAATACAAAATGATTAATCTTCCCTGATGTCAACATAATTTTCTTTTTTCTCCTTTTTCTCTTTTTTTTCCTTCTTCTCCCTTCTTCGCCGTTCCTCCTCCTCCTCCGAGTCCGTCTCTGGCGGTGGCGGGCCATAGATGTAGAACTTGATGATGTCGTTTAGCAGTCCGATCACACAGACGGCGCCCAGAACGTACAGGAAAATTCGCAATCGGGGAGATTTCATATTAGAAGAGGAGGAGATGAATGGGCGTCGTGGATATATGTAGTTGATTGATTGATTGATTGAGTGATTGATCAATGTACCCACTCACTCTCACGGGGTATACTAGAGCGTCTAGAGTTATAAGGTGCGTGATTATCTATCTCTTTCTTTCGTTGTTGCATCTATTTTCGTGACTCCTCATTATGTCTGCCCTTTTTGATCTCTGCATACCTCTACTTGTTGTACTTAGTTTCATCGAATGGATGGTGGGAGAATGAATGTAACAAGTCAAAATCTAGGGTGTAATTGACTTGCCCAGCACTCGACGCACAGCTGTATTCTTTCAAAAAATTACTCGCCTTAATAGTCTGATCACAGCTGCAACCTGCACCCCAGCATTCTTTGACGGAGAGCCACTTATTCTTGTTCACAGTGATCCAGCCCTTGAAGATTTCACGCTTAACACCATCTGCATCGGTTACTATTTCGGTGGTGTTGCCTAAATTAGAGGAGCCCGCGGTCGCGCTAATCCATCTTGGCATACATTCATCCTGGACCACTCATTCCTGGAACGAGTTGTCCTGAAGAGTGAGTCTCTACATACTCCGTCCAGGATGCCTCGGCAGATGGATTTACATTATTAATTTTGGTATTAAGCCTTAACTTTACTTTGAAATGGAGGTTTGATCATTTCCTCTGCTTCCTCATCGTTTTCATCTTTCTCTCCTGCATCAGCAACGTCACCGTCTGCACCGCTACTCTCCACTGCTGCACTCGTCGTGGTCTCTGTCTCACTCGTCGATGCGTCCGCGTGGCCACCCACCTTTTTTACGACCCAATCGAGTGGCTCTTCTCCATCCACTAGCACTCGTTCAGTTTCGACCCAGATTTCTTCACCTTCTCCACCAACCCAATCTACACCACCTGTGAACATCGGAATGTTCCAGGATTCTGCGATGCGACGCTTGTACTCCCCAACAGGCCCACAACGCTTCGCAAATTCGTTCATTTTTTCCGCTCGGGATTAGAGGTGGGCTCTTATGCTGTTGATTCACTGAAGATGGGTTCTTCATTCACTTCGGTAAAAATGTAGGCGAGGATGAGAAAGGTCACCAAGGTAAGCTGTATCCTAAATCGAAGTCCGACACGTAGTAGACGCACCACGACAACAACTACTACAAGAACAACACTACAGCACAAGAAAATTCATTTTGGACCATAATCAACAGCCCCTTCCTCGCCAGCTGAGGTTCCGATTTTCTTCAAGACCCGACAAGTCGGCATGGAATCATCCTCGTCGAATCGAACGAGGATATCACCACCAGCAAATGCAATCCCCGCGAAAGGAGACAGCTCCTCAGCTTTCGGACATTCTTTAGTCTTTACACCTGGCTGGTTTGAGGCTGGGTCCTGTTGAGATTGATGTGTTTCTGTTTGTAGTTGTTTGTGAGCTGTTTGGGTTTTTTGGTTCTTGGAGTCTAAATTTTTGGTAGGAGAGAAAACAAGTCTTGCCTGCATGATACTAGCGATGATGTATTTATTAAACGGATAGAACTAGTACTGCAGAATGCGTGTAAAAGGAGATCAGCATCAATAATTTTAATTACAATTCCTAAGTTGATACCATATTAAACCGGTCGTGGTTGTTAAACAGAATCTTCGAACGTCCTCCATCGTACTCGAATCTTGCGTAGGCAGTGGAACCGGTAAGAAAACCAACCACCACGCGACGACCAGAGCACTTTGACCTGGCCATTCTTGACATTTTGGATGGTGGCATGTTCTTGTTTTGCATCTACTAGGACTTGTTCCTTCTTGGAAATGTACGAGCTTATTATTGAAAATGGTGTGTGCAGGAAGCTAAAAAGTGCAAAGGGTAGTCGGAGGAATCAGGTCAGATAATTGCAAGAACAGAGCTGTTGGACATGAAGTCAAAAACAAAAAGGTTACATTGGCAATTCTTGACAAGACGGATGTAAGTACTCTAATTTCTGAAGTCAAGAGGCTGGTCTTTGGAAATAAAGGAAAGTGAGTTCATTGAGTTTGAGTATGAGTTGGAGCTGCATTTGCATTAGACTAAGTACTTTGTAGATGATTCCTGGCAGTGCTCTTCTTCGTGTAGATTGTCGCATTCCTGTCATTCGCTGGCAGAGTTACAGGAACAGAAATTTCATTCTTCACCTCAAGCAGACTCAGGAGTTGGAGTTCATTCATTTTGTATTTGACACAACATTCATGGATTTGTGGCACCTCTGCCGTGGCGTTGAGAATTGTAGAGAAACACCAGTGAGCCTGAATGAGTGACGTTTGATGCGAAAAGCTAGGACAACACCAACACGATTGTTAGTCAGTAAGGAGCCACGAGTCTGTAGTTACGCAATAATATTGCGCAAACGAAGTAGAACCGCTGCAATTTTTTTTGGTGCCACCATGGAAGCTGCCGCTACTTGAGATCATGGAAGGTGCTGCTTTTTCACAGTCCAATACTGAGGGTTTCACGTATCAAGTCGTCTTGTCGTTTCAAAAATTTGAAGAGGCCTATGTGATTTATTTCAAGAGGCCTTCTATGTGATTTATTTCAAGGTGTTGAAATCATGAGGGGGGTCTTGCTGTCGTTGTCAGGGAACAACAATAGCAGGGACTTCACACGATTGTAGGGGACAATACTCAGAATTAGAATCTCTTGAGTTGAATCTTCGATTTTTGATTTTAATATTTGAAGAGAATGATTATGAACCGCACCATTTTCGAAATCGAATCAAAATCTGAATTACAACCATCTTTGAATTCATCGGCACAAACATATCGTATTGGAGTTGTCGGTCTTTTTCAACTTTGATGTCATATAATCTGGTTTCTTTGACTCTAGTTTTTTGTCATATTTGAGTTTCTACTTTACACAAAACAGCATCTACAGCTCCTTCACAATTACTTCACTATTTAAAACAATCGAAGATCGCTTGTTCACATCTACTTCTTCTATTTAACCGTCATTTCTAGGAGCTAGCGTCTAGAGCTGCAGTGTCGCAGGATCGATTCCCCTACTACGCACCCAGGCGTGCACTTTCTCCCTCAATTCGTCGTCCGGCTCTATATCCGCCATCGTAAAGGCTTGGCGCGTGAAGGGGTCCACCGCGTCGCTCATGTAGATGCGTTCTGCCGTTGCTCGGTTGTTAGACCTCTCTCCAATACACATCTATCACTTCTTCTCTAAGATGTACTGGTGATGAGGACAAGATGAAGTAGAGAATCCTACTTGTGATCGAATTCATCAGGTTCTTACCAAATAGTACCAGAAGGACTAGAGATCCCAGCACAGAGATCGATTCCTATAGGTATAGAAGAGAATTAGGAGAAGCCTTAAGGTTGACCTTGTTTCCGGATGGCAGAGTGACCGGGTCTACCAGTAACTCGTTCATCAACGTATCCCCGAACTCGTCTGGGAAGTCGTCGAGGTCTGCGGCTTCATTACTAGCAGAGGCAGCGCCAACATCCTTTACAAACTCGTCAAATTCGGTCAACAATTCCTTCCGCAACATGCCATCACGCTTCACAATGCGCGCAGCCTTCTGGAAGGCGTTGACGTTAACATTCCCGTCGTTGTTTACGTGGGATATTACCTGTCGGCGTTGTTGTTGACTGGGATATTCGCTGGAGTGCAATAGGGCAGGTGGATTAGATGACAAATCATGTATTAGCATTAGCTGGAGTGCAATAGGGCAGGTGGATTAGATGACGAATCATGCAATTCATCCATGCTGGCAAGTGGAAGTTTTTTTCAAGTTAGTTGTACAAGTTGTATTGAATCTGAAACATCATCAAGAATTGGAAGATGGCCAAATCGTTGGAGACGAGGATGTAGATATGGTTATGGATGAGGATCTCCATATTACCTTCACTTTCTCCGCTCTCGCGATGAGAACATACATCTCGCACACCATCATCAGGAGCTCGACGGGTTTGAAGGACACTGATTCCCAGTCTTGCTTGGAACTCTTCAACTGCATGCATTTGGGTCCGACCAACCTGGTGGGGTACGATAGAAGATGAGAAGGCGTGGGTTGAGACACCACGACCATGTCTGGTTCTGGTATTTGGTATTAACCTGAGTTTGATCCTAAGGGTTCTCTTCTTGTTTTTCCTTATGATCAAATTCAGGCTATACCAAAAATACCGGAACCATTCAGACCAGTCTTCATGTAGTTGTTGCAGTAGGAGTTGTAGTTTTGAATACTTACAGTTGCACTTCTGGAGAGCACTTCTGGAGAGCTTAGAAATTAATACCTGTTCAACGACGCATTCAAGCAGTTCTGGACCATCTGCTGTAGGACCACGCCCTTCTCCGTGATAATCTCCGGAGTTTCCTGCGTAATGGCGTACAAGGTCTTGATCGTTCGAAGACCCATTTTCATGTACGTTCTACAGTGCTCCTTCGGATCTCGCCTACTTCTACGGTACAAATCTTCACCTTGCTCGTTCCGCTCATCCTCCTGAATGCCACCACGGTCGACGCCGATGCCTACGGGAGTGACCGAGGGGGAGAGAGACGAAATGGAAGTGATGTTGCAGATGCTGCTTGCTGGGGTTCTTCCAAAGTCGTGTAAAAGAAATTGTAACTGATTCAACTTGATCATGATGCGATAGCTAGAAGTCATGAACAAGTGAAGCAAGTTTACAGGAGTACAGAAGTAGAAGAAGAGTCGGATAGAGTAAGTAGACTGTTTTTACCTGCCGCCCCCGTCTGCATCAACTCTTGCATATTCTCGTCATCTGCACCTCCATTTCCTCCTCCAGCAGCCGACGACGAACTCGATGCGCCGCCAGGCGTGGTCTTCTGAGATCGCACTCTAATCGCGGCCAACGTGTCCATGCCCTCATCTAATTGCATTGTAGCATCGGACATCAACAGGTTTAAAAACTTCAGAAAATCCTCGTTGTTCTCCCTCGCAAACTCTCGAAGGTTCTGCTTGTGTTCTGCTCGCGGTATCAACAGCGCGATCAAATCCATAATCGGTACCCGCAGTTGGTATTTCAATTGCATGCGGATGTCGTAGTAACTCTGCTTCGTTTTCTCGACTGCGTTGAAAACTTGAATGCAACTAGGGATCATGTTGTCAGCGACTGGATGAAACTGCTGTAATCGATCCGACCAACGAGGGGTCTTGATCAGATACGCGATCACGTTGACCACTTTCCCGCGAATACTGGGGTTCTTCACATGGTCACCGGCGCCTAGGATGAACACCAAAGTCAGCAGAAGAGTGTCGACATCGACGCGCTGGAAAAAAGGATGCTGACTACCTCCACCTGGCACGCTCCCTGGTGGCATCACATCTCGGAAATACTCTAAAATATTGACGAAGTCCTCCAGTAGGACACTAGGTAGAATAGCCCATTCTGGCGACACCTCTTTCGGAGGGACCTTCACGTTGTGAAAGGCGTCAACCGCCCGCATTTCGCTGCTCTGCTGCGCGATCTTACCCCTGCATTCCGGGTAAGCGGCAGCGAGGAGGAACAGGCAAGTCAGGTTCATGCTATGGACCATGCCTGAGAGGAAGTTCTCACATCCCAACACCGTCTCGATGCAGAGATGCTCTCCGAAGCAAAGATCAGCTTTTTCAGGCGCCTTATTGAACATGGCAGAGCTGCCGTGCAGAAAACACATGTCTTCTTTAGATTAGAGGTGGTGCAAATAAGCAATTATAGTGGCAAAACACATGTCTTCTTTAGATTAGATGCAAAGAAGGGATTAGTGCTGGTCGTGGTGGATCCCTGCAAATTTAAGGAATTACAACTTCTGTAGACGATGTTACTTAGTGCTGCTACTTCCAACAGCTACGTAGTTGTAGAGATGATTCACTTCCAACCCATAATTGAATGTCGGCACCGTGATGCAGTGAAACGCTTTTTGCAAGAGTGCGAAAATCTTCGTCGCGAACTTGAAATCCTGTTTGGTTGCGGCCTCACCATCTAGGTTCAGCTTTGCCCTAGCACTTTTCACGCTTTCTTCGTCTCCCATCTTCGTATCCTCAGAAAACTTGCCCAACAAAGCCGCTGAAGCTCCTTGAGGTTCTCCTGTACTTGTGCCTGGGAATGGGGCTGACGGGACAGCACCGGAACCGGCGGAACTGATATTAGAGAAAGATAAGCCTGAAGATCAATAGTCGACTCCATGTCATTTTCGACTGCCAACATGCTCGAGAACTACGAGATGAAGACTATTGTTGAAAGCGATTTTTAAGTACTTATTTCATGTGGCCATAATGCTAGCCGCTTTTTTGCTCTTTTCCTCTGCCGCTGCTCCACTACCTGCAAACACACACGGATCCAGGATATTTCCCACCGCTGACAATTTCACGGGTCTAATTAGCTCTAACAACAACCACAACACGTTGTTCCCACATCCTGGCGTCGAGAAACCTAGCATCTTCGCCTGTTGCAACTGCATGGATAGTCGCATGTCCAAGTTTTGCTGCATCGGCAACGGTGAATTCTCCAATGTGTCTAGGAAGTGGCTTACGTCCCCACCTTCGTGGATCTGATTGGAGCCTTTTGCCCTCGCCTCATTGCCCACTAGCATCTGGGCAAGCCACGTGACAACAGCTTCACGGCATTCCTCACCACTCCGCAATAGGGGGTTCACGATGGCAAGGATTTGCTCCATTACCTGGGAGTTGTCGTCTTTGAGTTTCATACAATGAAGAAATAGATGTCGAGTAGAAAAGAGTTCAACGTAGTCATGTAAAGTAGGCGGGAAAACTACAAGCACAAAGTGGAAAGCCCCACAATGATCTTCAAGAAGGCGAAGTACAACTAAGCCTAGTACCTGTTGCATCCCCCCTCTCTGCGTCTCTTGACTTGCGCGTATAATCCGATGTGCTTTTTTCGTGCAGCCTTCAAAATGTAGTTTTCGACAGCTCTTCTCCTTGTACAGCATCGTGTCCATGGTCGTAGGACATAGCAGTGACCCAATCAACGATTCCATCTGCAACAAAAACCCCTTCGGCAAGGCTTTCCCACCACCATAGACTGCTTGTGGCGCATCCGGCAGAAACTGCTTTGAGTATTGGCAAATCACCCTGTTGACTAAAGGGTTCTTCGCTTGGATCAAACTCGTCAAATACTGCAATTCGCCAAGCTTGTGGTCAGCGAATTGGCGACCCTTGAGGCCTTGCATCATGGCGTCGAGAGCAGGCTGAAAGAGATTGCGGATGCATTCGACCGGATTATCCTGGGGGTCCATCTCTTGCTCGATAGTCTGCACAAGGAGATGCACGAAATTCAGCGAAAGCCGGACTGGAGGCGAACCGGTCGGGAGAATGAAAGGAGTGGGAAGAAGAATCGACTACTCGGTCGCATTTCATAGTACTCATAGCATAATTTTCAGGCCACTTGATGTTTATCACTTACACAATGTCAGTGGTTCACTGACTCTATCTCGTCTAAATAATGCCTAACTATATATATTGAAAGTTGTAAACCCATGTGGTAAGTGATCTCATGGTATTCTAATTCTTAACTAATAAAAATACTAAATCCCACAATCAAACCTCATAAATGTCGACGACGTTGCTCCACCTGAACTGAAGCCGCCCATGCCACCAGGCACTAGGAACTCCGTTAAAATCGCACTTCCAGCTGTTGGTGTCATATTGGTGTTCCCATCTGGATCCGAAAACATCTCAGGGATCGTAAGTACCAAGTTTGCGAAACGAGAAAGATTAGAGACGGACAAACGTTAAACTAAAAGATTCACTCAATCATTCGAACCACGTAGCAGCTACGAGTAACTTCCTGGCTCACTTGTCGTGATCCGAGTAGAGACACGGCAGCTAAAAGAAAACAATCGAAGAACGGTTCTGAATAACTCTGGAAATTTCACTGTGGATGATTTGCATGACCGCTACAGAAAAGTGGATCATTTCTGAGAGACAGGCTCAACAACGAAAGAAACCAAACCAGATTGTGCTCGTCCTCGTTCAGCTTCCTACTCCGAGACCTAGTATAATTATGCAGGGACTAGAACTAGTACACCATCAAGATCAGTTCATGTATGTTTTCATAACCAAAAGCCGCATCAAATCTGGCAGTTTTGCCTTCAGCTCCGCAGGTACTTTGTCCCGCTTCGCCATTACATCCGCTCTTTGAAAACATCCATGCAAATACTGGATTTGCTTCCGTTGATCGGAGTATAGCAAACCGCATTTTGCTTCTACGATGAGATCTGCGCGAGCAAAACTAGGCGTCTCTGCAGCCTTGAGCTGGTCTAGGACAGCTTTGACGAAATTAGGGCTGCCAGCATCGAAGGACGCCTCTAGAACGTGTTCGATCAACTTGGATTCCTCCATCTTGTCTATAATTTCTTTCTCGTAAGTAGATGGATAATGTGGAGTTGCTTCGGATCAAAACAAAATGGGTTGATGAGGATACCGCCACGAAGTGGTGCTATAGTTCCTCGCTATACTGTAGTAGTAGGGGGGTACGTCCTCTTGCGCGTGCTGATGGGGAACTGTATTAAGGCAGTAACAGTAAGAGGAAAATAAGACACGACATGGAATCTATGCAAATGCTTAATAGCACCTCGTTGGCGCAATAGTTTGTGTGGAGATCAGAATAGCTGCTGGAAGCGCCGTAGAAGTTGTCAGTCTACATATACTAGTCTGATACTACTTGTTGTCCTCTATTTTGCGGAAATCAGACTCTCTTTTTTTGAGCACTTACACTTTTCTTTGTCATGAATTTGATTCATCGCCACATCTTGAAGAAAATAAATTCTTGGTTCGTCGCAGAGACACCTTCAGGAGCTTGTTTTGAGTAGGAAAACACATGCACCAGCAATAAGTAGGAACCGGAATACAATGGCTCTGAGCCACGGGTCGTCGCTCTTGCTTTGTGGTTTGTATTCTCGAATATGATGGTCCTTTCCCTTTGAAAACAATTATCATGATGTTAATGTTTTGCACTTGCATTTTTACTTCCTTCTTGCTCCTGAATTTCGACGCTTTGCTCTCCCCTGTGGTTTCTATGTATCTTGGACCCAATCATGATAATTATGCTGTCAACAACGATAACAAACTTCACAAATAATTTGTCTTTACAATTAACGGTTGAACCAAGATGAATGAGTTGTAGAGTCTCATCTGCTGCAATAATTTTTGCAGAAAAATAATTAACGTGAATACATATTGGAAAAAATGGCGATGTTACAAATGAAGAAAATTATGTAAATGAATGACATCAACCATGTTTTTGAGATTGATGCTGCTAAAAGCAGCATCCCAATCGTCCTTGTGGTCGCGTGGAGCGGTTTTGCTATTTGTCAAAGAACCTGGGACTATGTCTTCCCGCCCATCAGGACATCTGAGCATGATACTTACCTATCGAATGCAATATGAAGAATGAAAACCAACAACTACATTTTGGTTATTTCGTGTCAGCATTATACGCTAACGCTGAAAACTGAACAAGGAGTAGATTCCATATAAGTAAGTACCATAAGCAGGAGCACAGAGGTTCCCCGCAAGCTCGATGCGATGGGAAGAGAATGATCCACCAACAAAAAATCACCATCAACTACTTGTTACGACATGCAGTTGTTGACAGTTGATGTTGTAGATGAAAGATACATAACCGACACTGCGCACCACAGGCACAGTGCAGTCACTCTCAGTCACAACAAAATTGTGTAGTTGGTTTCTACTTCACGTAGAAGAAGTTACAGTCAACATCCGTAAAAATAGATAAGGGCGGATATCTATCGTGGGAGGCAGTAACTCTTCATTCCAACAAGGTAAATGCAGCAGACGAGCAGATGTAGATGAGTACTGTCTGCAAAGTATAAGTATTTGATTGCTATTTTTCTAATTACGATAGAAGATTAGTAACTACTCGCCAGTGTGTGCATAGTATATGATCTATATCCTCTCTACTACGACTATGGATAGGAAAACCATAACATCATTCTTGGTCTCGTGAAGATTCTGAAACTAGTACTACTTCCCAACAGAAAAAAGCGTCCCAAACCTGCCACGGCAAGGACACTAAGACTAATTTCATCATGATCTTCTTCACTGCAATGTCATTTTTCTGCTAGCTGCAGAGTTTCTTTTGTGACTAACTTTGTTCTCAATCAGGAGTTACAGTGTTCGAGGACTTGAGTACAGCGACGACATTATTCTTGTTCTGTTCAGTGTTCCGGCACTATGGGAAAATGTTCAAAAAATTGCAACTCGCCAAACGTGAAGTTACCACCTCCTCCTCTGAGTTTTGCTTCGTCATCATCTGGTTTCCTTTCCTTGTTGTACTAGAAGTACTTGTTGTTCTTGGACAAGATGATTACTAGTACTTGTTCTTGAAGATGATGAATTTTTACTAGTTGTAGCATGACGATGTTCGACTACCACGATCATAACGATATGTACAACCATGTCGTGCACAGCATTTCTGTTCCCAAAGTCAACGAGGACGCTGCTTCAGTAGTAGTTCAATAGTCTCTAGAAGTTTTCAAGCGAGTACTACTGCTACTGCTTCTTCTTCTTAGCTCTCCTTCGTCAAGTAGCGTCCTTTGGACGTCAGTACTGCTACTGCTTCTTCTTCTTAGCTCTCCTTCGTCAAGTAGCGTCCGGTGTCAACGACCTCTCCGAAGTTGTCACCCTTGTTGAAGTTCTTCCAGTCCTTGCCGATTGGTCGCCAGATCACGCGGTCATCGATACCCATGCCGTTCAACACGGAGACGATTTCCGGACGCAAGCACTTGCAGATGGACGCTTTCTTTAGACGTTGCATTCATAATTTAACTAAAGATTCATAATATGTAAAGTAAAAAAGTTGTCCGTCGAGGTCCCTGATCGTTTGTGCTTGAAGAGACCACCAGCCGCTGCACTCTCAAAGACTGTCAGGGAGAAGATAGATACTCTTTTAAGGAAGGACGCACCGAAGTAAAACAACATCCTTAAAGTAGACTGTCAGAAGATAGATACTTTTTTAAGGAAGGAGGAAGCACCGAATAGAGATGGATTATATCTACTCTGATTTAGCCTTAACTTCATTGCACGCAACGATTGCAAGTCTGCTGGCGACATCACGCCCAGGTTCATGCAGTTGATCGCGTCTTCGGAAAGCACGTCAATGGCGTAGAGCAAGGCGAGTCGGCCAAGCACGCAGACGCAGGCAGCGGACAGCTTTGGCTGTTTCTCGGTGGTGGCGTGGAGGAGGTCCGGATCCTGACCAGCGGACTTGATCACGAGATTAAACGCGCGAACGGACTCCCACTGCGCATAGGCTGCTGCCACCAGCTGAATTTCATCGGAGAACTCCTTCAGGTTGGCGTCGAAGATCTTGTAGCGGAAAGCCTTGTCACCCTTCATCATGAACTCGGTCAACTTCTGCTTGAACATGTCGCAGGCAAGCTTCACGCGGTTTGCCATCAGCTTCTCAATCTCGCAAATCATAGCTTGCATCTTCGCCGCTGTTGTAATGTTGAGAGAATGACAAATTTAGATGATGATTGTGCTGGGAGTGGGACGTAGGAGTTGATGTTGAGTGAGTGAGTGAATGAGTGAATGAGTGAATGAGTGAGTGAGTGAATGAGTGAATGAGTGAATGAGTGAGTGAGTGAATGAGTGAATGAGTGAATGAATGAATGAATGAATGTGCCTAGCAAGAGGCGTTTGCATTGCCTCCGACCGAAGGTCTCTAATTTTTCTCTTTCTTTTGTGACCTGTTTAGTCATCTTTCCTTTCTTTTTCCCTCTTTGCATTTCATCTCATGCTACTGTTGATGCTCTTTGAAGATTCTTTCATCAAGGTTCAAGTTTCAAGGGTCCGCGAACTTGTGGCCAAGCCACGTTGCCGGGACGAATCAGGCTCGAGTAGAGCCATGAAGCACCGCTGAGACAGGCATGAATACTACAGAACAACATCAACATGTTCTTCGAGAGAGATCAATATGATCCTGACAAGAATTTCAAAAAACGACTTATTCGAAAAAGCAAATTAGAGTACCATCATTTCCCACCGCCGTCTCCAAATCGTTCCAGTTCACCTGGTACTTCGCGGTGTCGATGATTGGGTTCAATGCTGCAGTGTTCGATCCCTTTTCGAGAATCTCCATCAATTCCTTGGTGACCTTGGCACAGAGAACGCGAGCATCGCCTTCGGCAGTGATGCCTGTAATTGGTAGTTCGTGATTTTCATGGATGTTAGTTACTCGTGGAGAAGACAGAGAACGAGAAGAACAACGAGCCGCAGGTTGAGTTAGTAACGAATCTTCTATCTTGGTTAGGTTAGGTTAGGTTGTGAATCCTGCACAACGATTCTATCTTCTTCTTTCAAGAAGTACAAATTAAAACAATTATATGATCGGAGGGTTATTCATATTCAGGAATAGTTGTACCTGCATGCGCGAACATTCCACCAAATCCGTTTGCTTCCAAAAATCCGACTCCACCCACCCGCTCGCGGCACACAACTACTGCCTTGTCACACAGCCAAGCGGCTACTGGCTTCACCGACGAGCAAAGAATGACCAATTCCATGTGTTCACGCAACAACTGTCCTGGATCGTGGTTTGGGTCCAAGCCCAGCTTTGTGCGAGCGGCGTAGCGTCGCTTGACGTAGTTGTGATAGAACTGGGTCGCGTAGCATCTAGCGATCAAGGGGAAGACTTCGTGCTGGCACAGCTGGTAGTCGAGGATTGGCGTGTCGCTCTTACCGTTAGGACCAACGCCAAGACGAGTCAGCATGTAACGCGTGGAGATTGTGGTGACAACCTGTGTGGTAGTGGTTTCGTGATGAAGATGATGTGGTTTCAGATTTATTAGTTAAGGAAGAAGATAATATTTCTTCTTCGCTTTGAAGCAAGATTCTTGATTCCCTTCTATTATAAAAACAGACTCTATTTTTTGAATTTCGAGAAACAAATACACTTTCAACTTCAACAACTTCTAGCATAATCCTAAAAAAACAGAGAGAACAAAACCGAAGTACCTTCGTCGCGCCAATCATCATGCTGCTGATGCACAATCGACCACTCAGAAGCTGATCGGCTAAACGCAGGAATCTCTCACGAAGCTTAGGAGCCTTGGCACCGGCTTTCCAAACATAGTTACCGCCTTTCTCAACTTCCGCATAGGATGACAGCATATGGGATCGCGGAATTCTCACTTGTTCGAACCTGAAAGGGTAAAGAGAATCAATGATTTTGATGATAAACATGAAAAAGCTAATCCTATTGAAATGTTCATTCTTTTTCTGGCGAAGAAGGGTTCTTCAGTAGCAGTGTAAAATTACAGAATCTTCGCATTATCGATGCCATTGAGGCCGATCTTGGTTCCCATATCCTCAACTCTGCACCCTGGCATGGTCTGAAGCGACTTCAGATCTCGGATCTGCGTGATGAAACCGTGCACGCCCTGCCTCTTTCCGTCAATGATCAGCTGAGCGAAGACCACACAGAAGTGAGCGTGGCAAGCGCCATTGGTAATCCAGTATTTCTGCGACAACACGCTTGGCGAATGGATAGAGAACGTGTCGTCCTCCTTGTTGTACGTGGCGGTGGGGGATTAGAGTCGGGACGGGGGAGAGGTAATGGGGGAGAGGTAATGGCAGGGACGGGGAGACCTTACTTATAATAGCACACTACATGATGATGATCAACATCAAGAGGAACATGCACTTCTCGATCTCGTGTCGTACTACATCATTTTTCGAGCCATTAAATTGTTAACTATGATGTATAGTGATAGTGTTCTACTTCATCTTGAAGGTGGTGCGTGTTCGAAATTTTCAGGAGCAAAAATCTTCATAAGTTTCCATCTCAACCGCGTTGTTTCCGAATCCCAGTTCCGACAACCCAAAGCAGCCCACCACATCACTGGAGTTCGTCTTGTTCGCGAAGAACTGTCGATGTTCTTCGGAGCCGAGACGGTAGACGGTTCCACCCCACAGGTTGAATTGCACAGTCAGTTTGGTCGCAAAGGAACCATCGACGAGGGCAGCGGCATCGTGCGCCATGAAGATGTTCATGGGGTTGCTCTCGAAGTCCTGGACCTTTATGATGTCCTTCTTGCAAAACGCTTGCAATCGCCTCAGCGCATGCTCACGCTGCTCGTCCAGGGAGCAGTTGTAGTAGGGACGGAAGCAAGCATCTGGCATTTTCCGAAGTTTTTATTTTTGCGAAAAGTTGTAGTAGGGAAGGAGGCATGCATCGGTTTTCTATTTTTGGGGAAAATGGATATGGAATAGCAGTTGTAGTAGGGACGAAAGCATGCATCTGGGGTTTTCGTTTTTTATTTTTGCGAAAAATGTTGGAATCAATACTCGAATTCATTCATTTTTCAGATTGGACATAGTTACTTTTACTAAGTGTCCTATTCGCTGTATCATCTTCCTAAGATGCAACAATGACGCTGAATAAAATGGTGAGTCGCAGCATACTACCTAATCCTAAGCTGTAAAAACAGGAATACCTTCCACGATCAGATTCTCGAACTTCCTGCGGTTTTCGTGGTTATCGTGCTCGATCAGGGTCTGAATCCCCTTGACGTCGGAGAGGGAAAGGGTACAAGTCTTGGCGGCTTCGTCAAATTCGGGCAAGACGTGTGTCATGCACGTCATCAAACGACGCTTGTACTTATCCTCGATGGTCGCCATTTTGTCGAACAAGCTTGTAGTTTCTAAGGAAGAATGAGATGACTGAGGATGATGAGATACTGTAGTTTCGGAAACAGCCACTTTTGCCCCAAGAGATACTGTAGAGATATATTAAATGTGCTTCGGAAACACCCACTTTTGCTTCAAAACTAGTACACGTCTTAGAAGTTATCGTTGTGATTCAGTAGATACCTTAGTTTTTGTGAGATACCCTTATTGCGAACGATGAAAGCAAATTAGAAAGTGTGACAGTAACGGCAAGAATCAGAATAACTTGGACTTTGTTCTTCCTGATTTGACTGGAAAAGATCTTATCTATTGACTTTTGACGCAAGTACACAACAGTGACAGGAGTTTGTGGCTACCGGGATCACGGCAACAACCAACAAGAAACAACCTGTTGAGACTGAGGATGAAGAGAAGGTGTTTGGGTTTGGCTCCTTGTTACGAAAACTACATGATCAAGTATTTCCGTATTTTGAAAACCGCTTTGCTTGGGCACTCGTTCGTTTTGCTTCATCATGAGAAGAGCGAGAGAAAAGGCGAGCATCTCTATGTGAATATGTAAGAGTTTTTAGGTAGCACGCAGCAGTGGCAAAAAAAGACAAGCCAAAAAACACTTTGAGTTTGATGATACAGGTGCTGCTCGCGCTCATTAGCACATTCTTGAGAGTCTCGTCAATCTTCGCGTGGTCCGCTGTACCTCAGCTTGCTCGTCAAAAAGAACAGCACCGAGTAGAGAGATTTAAGCGCACTCTCCATTGTTGCACCTTGGGTTTCAAAAAAAGGAAAATTTTCTCTCTCTCAAGGACCAGCACAGTCTTTTTTCAGGGACAAGAATCAACAACTCATGGGAAAAAGTCGACCGACAGGAGATCACGCAAAAACACACCTGAATCTTTTTGAGGCCTCAGCTTCATAGACACCTTTTTTCCTTTCATATCCATATGTTGCTTGATCTTGATGTTAACTCTGGTGCTTAAGTGGTGGATATAACATGGTTCATAAATTCGAGAAGTCTTATGGATGTCGGACATTCCTGCTCCAACATGTCATGTTGAACATGATGAGTCACTATCTTTCACAGGCGGGCAGTTCTTAGGGTCGTGGCGGGTGGTAGTTCTTTGTCAAACAGTACTAGCTGTTATATCGTAATACCAAATGTAGAAAAATAGCTATTGTAATTTCAGACCCAATGACAATAGACAGAGGACAGGACTGTGCTTGTCCTCCCGCATGGCACAGAAAATGCATTCTGAAACGACGTTAACGTTCTAGCAATAGTCCAATCTTTTTTTTCCTCTGCCCCGAAGAGATAATTCCACTGCACAAGACGCAGAGTATCTTGCTATTTGTTGTGACTTAGAATAGGAGAGTGAGAATCATTTGCAAAGTTGATCTTGTTATCCCAATCGTTTATCATAATATTGTGACGTCCCCACCGTGTCCAACATGATAGTCGTCCCTTGGCGAGAAGAAGGTATTCAGCATGTTACAAAAAGTCCAACTTCTGAATGCATCATTGCCGTATCGGTTGTGTTTCACTTGTAGTAATTCGAGTTCCCTTCAAACAATCAATCTCAGTTACAAATCACTGGGTACATTGATTTTGATTCAATCATCATGTCTGAGCTAAGAAATAGAAAAAATAAGGAAGAGCTTTATTCTCAATAGCATGCATGTTCTTGTCCGTCAAGTAAATACCAATCCAGTTCCAGAAACTTCCATCCGCTTTAACAAGTTCAGAAATCAAATGATTGCATGTACTAACTTCTATCGAACGATCTTCCTGACACGACTAGGTGAAAAGTTAAAATTGCCTTAAGATATATAGTTCTACAAGTAGTTCTTTAGCCGATATTTAAGGGACTTTCTTCAATCCCGAATGGATAATTTCATCTTTTTGGAGAAACAGGGGCGATTTGCGATACAAGTGACTGTAACGACGACGTAAGTCTGCGATATAAGTTGCGCTTGCGAGCGACGCATTTCAATCGACCGTGACATCTAGTAGGCATACACGAGTTCCCCATCGGAGGACTACAGACTATGCAGTCTCCGTCTAGTACGGCGAGTATCGTGGGAAACCGCCGCCGAAACCGCCTCCCATTCCCTTACCACGGCCCTTACCCTTAGAGCTCGGTGCGTAGGCGGAAGCCGAGTTGGCGAGTTGCTCCAGTTGTGGCGAGATTGGCTGAGAAGCTTCCTTCATAATTCCCATCAAGTCACGGGCCAATCTGGCCTTGTCGTGAGTCAGGAAGGAAAAGGCGGTACCTGTATGGAGTTTTAGAATGAGGTTGAGGTTGCATAAGTTAGTTGTACCTGGTGCAGTTACAACTTGTTGTCCGAGAACTGGTAAACTGTTATTTGTGTATTTCTACGATCGGCTTTCAATCTTCAACAATGACCTATTTCAGAATGATCAATGGAATTTTTACTACATATCTGGAGTTGTCGTTTCGAAATGAGGAAAATCGAAGGAGTACCATTAGCCCTTTGAATGATGATGATCAATGAAATTTATTTTACTACTATAACATATCTGGAGTTCTTGTTGTTTCGAAAAAATCGAAGGAGTACCATTAGCTCCCGCTCGTCCCGTTCGTCCTATTCTGTGGACGTAGTCCTCGATGTTGTTCGGCATATCGTAGTTGATCACTACTTTGATGTCCTTGACGTCCAGACCACGTGCTGCAACGTCGGTTGCGATCAGAATCGGGTTTCGCCCAGTTCGGAACTCCTGCAAAACCCAGTCGCGTTCCTCCTGCTTCTTATCTCCGTGAATGGAGAGAGCCGGATACCCGTCCATCCGCATCTGACGCGTCAGTTCGTCGCATCCTCTCTTGGTTTCGGCGAAGATGATGATCTTTCCAGACTGCAAATACTGACGCAACAAGTCGTTCAACCTCTGTCGCTTTTCGTAGCCGGTGAGAACTTCGACTTTTTGCACGATACGGTGGTTGGCCTGAAACAAGATGGAATGTGACGAGGTGGACGATTTGGAAATGATCATATTTGGGAACAGAGTTGTAGGTAGAGCCAAAAATTTGCTGCACTGTACTACAGGAAAGTAGACTTCCTACTAGAACTAGTAGATGAAGATTAGGTCATAATTTTTAGATATGTGGTCAAGACTGAAAGAGTTCTTGTACCTTCAAATCCAGCGCTCCGATGTTGATGTGCACTGGGTGTTCCTTGCACAAATCTCTGGCCAAAGCCTGCACGCTCTTCGGCCACGTGGCAGACCATAGGAGGGTCTGTCGGTCCGGTCGAATCTGGCCGCAGATTTTTCTGACCTGGTCCTCAAATCCCATATCCAACATACGATCAGCCTCATCCAAGCAGAGGTAGGTTGTTCGTCGCAGAGTAAAAATGCCCATATCCAACATGTCGATCAGACGACCAGGAGTAGCGATGACGATTTCGCGACCCTCACGCATTTCGCGCATCTGCGGACCTTTGGGGACGCCACCATACAGGCAAGTGTTGCGGATGCGGCCCTGTGAAGATTGTTTTTTTTGAATTTGGAGTTCATCTCCAATGGTTTTTCGACAATGGTTTTTCGACAAGAACAATATGCTCGTCGTGAATCAGATTGCTGAGTATACAAGTAACTACTACTAGCTACTACTAGTAGCAGGAGTAGTAAACCCAATCGATCCAGGGGTACGTCTTTACTTGTTGAGCAGCTATCAAGAATAAAGAACCACGTCACCGCCTACCGGTTTGAAGTCCCCCCGTCTACCAACTCTACCACAAGATTCTAACATAATCTAAGAAAGTAGAAAGTACCGCAAACTTGTCGACCTCGTTCTTGATCTGGACTGCGAGTTCTCGTGTTGGTGCAAGAACCAAGCAGATCGGGCCATCGCCGTTGTTCAGAGGTGGCTGGGCGTTGATATGCGTGATACCCGGAAGAAGAAACGAAAGAGTCTTTCCGGAACCAGTCTCGGCGATACCTTTTATTTTTGGGAGCAGTGGTACTGGTAGATTTTTACATAGACTAAAATTTTTTCATCTTACTCCAACTGAACAAGAACATGATTTGTGAAAAAGTTTCTTGCATCGACCAGAGATGCATGTATGGCTCCAGAAACGCATTTTCACATAGAGGACGTCGAGAAATTTCTCAAGATCTAGTATCGTCCCAACAAGTTTTTAGGCAATAAATTTGAAGAAAACACTAGCAAGCAGAAGAAGAAGGCTATTATTTCACATCAAAAAACTAAAACTCTTTCACTTTCATCATTTTTTCAAGTACGAGATAATATTGAAAGGGAAAAAAGAGGATTTGGGTAGACTATATTACCAATCATATCTCTTCCAGACAATGCCACGGACCATCCCTGAGCCTGAATCGGACTCGGGTTCTGGAAGCCTGCGCGGCGGATCGACTCCATAACGCATTCCGGGAAACCACCATCAGCGAAAGTGATAATCGGTTTCGGGCAGGGGTAGCCACTGTTATTTTAATGTTGTAAGATGTTGAGATAGAGAGGGTTGTACTAGCTGTAAGTTGTTAGTAGCTCACGTAGAATAACTTATCAAGTTAGATGATTTCATTGAGATTGACGAAGAAATGCACTCGTAATAAGTGTGGAAGTAATCTAGAAGTAATAAATAAAACGACAGCTAGGATAGTATAGGATGCCTCGACTTCTCCGTCATCTTCTGCTGTGCATTTTTTTAGTTCTACCAGTAAGTGTAAATGTAGGAATGAAGTAGAATAAATCCAAGTTATACCCATCATTCACGACCGCAATTCCTTTATCGTGTCTCCATTTTTGGACATCGTGCATACTCATAGCCGCAACTGTTGCGCTTTCGCGGAAGAAGCTCTTCTGAAAGGGTTGCAAATGCTCCCTGGACCAATCAATGGCACGCAGATTGGCTCCAAGACCAGCACCGCCACCTTTTCCTTTTCCCTTGCCGCCACCGAAGCGGTCCTTGCCGCCTCCAAAATCACGGTCACCTCCGCGACGGTCATATCCACGGTCATAACTGCGCTCACGACGATTGTCGTCTGTTTTTCGATTTCGATTTTGAGGTTTCAAGAAGTACGTAGGAGAATATTGGATTTCGATTCTAGTTCTTGTAGTTCTTTTTTTTCATTTATCAGAGGACGTCTGTCTCTGTGATCTATTTATTCTTCTTAATTGATGTAATAGTTGTAGTAATTTTTTTGTGCTGCCCATGTCCGTCCTCTTTGTGCCCAAACGCATGATCTTCCCTAGTCAAAGTCTTCTCTACATGGATCAGAGTTCTTTCCTCCTCAACTCCCATCTTCCAAGAGATTTAGTGACCAGGAACGACGACCCTGCGCCGCGCAGTAGAGGCAGAGAGGCACATGGCAGCTTGCAGCGTCTCTTAGACTAGCGGACGAGAAAATGTCAGTGCTTTTCAAGTCCACCAGTCTTCTTTTTGCTCCTCCAACTACTAAGAGAAGTCACACACAGAGAGTAGTCTACAGTATGATGAGGACGGATCATCTTCGTCGCGCTTTTATAGTGCAAAAATCACGTCGTTCCCCCTTACGGAGGTGGAGACACGATTTGTTTTCCATGCACCCATAGTAGCACGACATGACGCCTCACCTAAGCTGTTCTTGCCCTTTCTCTTGTGTAACATTCACTTTTTACGTTGGAGAACACTGCAAAATGCTTCATCAAGATAATAGTAAGTTGTAGCTCAGCATGGACGACTTACGGAGATTGAGTCACTTTCTATGTCATCCAAAAGGAACAAACAGATGAGTCAACATGAATGAAGATGTTGTGAAAAAAAATTGAGATCGGAGTTCGATTTCTCAAGTAGTTGAGACAAAATCTATATCTAAGAAAATCTTCCGCCCGATGATGGCAGCATAGTAGACGTGTGGTTCGTGCTTGTCTCTCACGTAGCAAACCCCTTTCCGCGTGTGTCATGTGGTCATCGTATTTTTGCCGGCTTTCTTTCTTGTCTGCGGATACTAGAAGTAAAAAAGAGATGCTGTCTTGATCTTCTTCGTGCTCGTCGTTGTGATGTTGATCAACAATGAATACGAATATTCGTCGTTCTTGCTGTTTAAAACCTTTACCTTCAAACGGCGAAACTCGTGTTCTGAAAAGCTAAATACGAAATCTTCACGACATAATCTCCGCCAGATGTGCTGCAGACCACTTGTTTCAGACACACGCGAGGATCCAAGAGAGAGAGAGACGCACGCTTGCACCTCATCTGAAGCTTTTCGTCAGATGGGTATCACCACCACGGCCACGCATAGAAAGCCATCACCCGTGGCGTCAGAGTGTTTTTCTATTGAAAGAAAGATAGGTACTAGAGCTTCGTCCACGGCTGTCCCTGCGGCCACCGCCACTTGGCGCACCATACATTCCACGGCTATCGTAGGATCCCGGCATTTTGTTTTCGTCTATTCTGGTATCAGAATGAAAATGAACAGAAGATTGATGAAGAATTCTGTGGTATTATAACTTTCAGTTGTTTCTAGAAAGAAAATGATGCAACGATAGCACTTCTCAGCAATAATTTCGAGGACGATTGATCTGAAAAAGAACTTACTACAGACACAACCTGTCGTGTGAAAGCAAAGGGGAGAATTAGTCTTTGATGTCGTTCGTCCGTTTTGTACCACAAAAATTATGAACAAGCTCTAAAATGTCAGTCGCTTACGTTTGCAATTCATGCACGAATTCTACTTTAAAACTCCAGGTCTCTTTGCAGGCAAGATAAGAGAACTTTGTTGATATCGAATTTGGTCTTGAATTTTTGGACCTTCACACGTTTTTTCAAGACGATATCGAAATTTCGATCTTTCAATTTTGAACCTAGTATTAGTTTGCTTTCGATCAATGAAGTACTTAGAAGATGGGGAAAGCGATGTGGCGAATTCGTTCAAAAAATTTCGTCGATCTTTCTGGTGTTGAATTTTCAGGTGAATTGAAGACTGTGAATTTCATGTTGAAGATCATCTTCATAATTTGGAACTACAAGAAGGTTAAGAAGATCACGATCGCAGTTCTGCAATTGCTATTTTTTGAATCAGAAAGAACTGTTTGATCTCGTTTCTTTGCATAATAATATGCATCCGTTCTAGTCTCATATTTTTGAACACAAATGGGACGACTCTCTCGTTTCGAGCACAGTTTTTTCTACTCCTGGTGCCAACATTCATCGTGTTTAGCAAAGGTGGCGCACAGGCCGATGGGCGTTGTTTAAAAGGGTGCTCACTTGTACGTAAGTAGCATATTTGGTCTTCATTATATTTTGATGATCTTGAATCCCAACAACATCATTGTCATTTACTCGTGACCAAGGAATGTCGACGTTTAATTGTGCCTCTGCAAGAGTAACTACGAACAGAAGACCACTGGAGGCAGCTGCACAAGGAACTATTTCTCACCAATTCATCAGCACGATGATTATGAGGATAATCAGAGTGAATATGTAACACAGGATGCACTTTGATGACTTGCTTCTTCTGATATCGCGGAGCCGCCTTGGGTTAGAGGAGGTGATTGGTGAAGAACCGAAACTTTTTGTTTTCCTTCAAATTAAGAGTTTTTTCCTGCCGATCTTCCCCATTTACTATCGTGGATCTAATTCGTAATTGAAATCAATGTTGAAGACGAAAAAAGTGTCATCTACAACTAGCTGCATCAGTCATAATCTGTGTCGAATGCATTCGCGTATGTGTGCCATCAACTGCCTCTCCCAGCTCCTCGAGTAGGGTGTTGTGATAGTTGATCTCGATGTTGATGTCTTGGCCTATTTGCAGAGATTAGAGCCTGCTGGTGTGCAAAAATAGTTCCTCCTGGTGCGAGGCTGACATGATTCACTTCTTTTTGGAGGTCGTAGTCGTAGTGGCACACTACAGCGAGTTGGGATAAGTGAACAGGCCAACGCCTAAACCACTAAGCCAACTGCTAGTGGTTTAGGCGTTGGCCTGTTCACTTATCAAGTTGCATGGAAAGCAACATGCTGGATGATGATAGGAGAGATCGAGTGTTGTCGACGAGTGTTAATACACTACAGCGAGTTGAATGGAGAGTAACATGCTGGATGATGATAGGAGAGATCGAGTGTTGTCGACGAGCGTTACTTCTCTTAGCCATAATTTAACGATCCCAGTGTCGCCGCTAAGCGATCTAGAGTTTCTTCCTGCTCGTCGACCAAACCTTGTTGTCTCTGCATTTCCCCACGTCGTGTGGTTGGAAAGTCAGTTCCACTCTGAAGTTCAGTCGTCCCAGAAGCATAGGTTTCGACTGCATTATCGGCAGAGGGCACCACAGCACCGCCGTCGCCGACCTAGTTGTAGATGTTGTCGGGGCGATGATGATAGATAATGATATACATTTAGATGGTCGTTATGGTTTGTTGAGAATAACAATAGAAGAAGAAGAATCGACGAAATTGGAAGTGAATATCAGAAGTTGAACTAGTACGATGATCTTCTCCAGTGCTTTCACATCCGCTGTTAGCTTCGCTAACACATCTGTCCTCTGCAGCAGCTTCCCCCGGCTCAGGGTTTGAGACACGATCATTCTTTGCAGAAAAGTGTCAAGAAGGCCAAGTTCTTTCAGTATGACGCGCACTTCCCTATAGTTATTGCCTCGCGCGCTTCCCGGTCTAGATGCTTTTAACTGCAGCTGCTGCACTCGTCGTCGGACACGTGCGACATCCGCTTGCCACTGCTCATCCGCCGCTCGTCCTGCAGCATTGTTGAAGAAGGTGGATCCGAAAATAGTCGATGAGGCATCGGATAACACAGCTGAGACACCTCTCGAAGCTGTGGCACCTGCGCTAGAAGATGAGGAGGGAAACGCTGCACCACCAGTTGATGTGCCAGAGTGCTGCCCGGATCGAGTAGGACTGCCTTGTCCACTGCTTGCCGGGCTTCTGCTAGCGGAAGAAGGGGAAGTAGTTTCCATCATTGCAATTTGACTTGCTGTCAAAATTGCAGACGTACTGGTGTTGGATCGATCGCCGCCTGTCCGCGGAGGTTCGCACAATGGGGCGATAGATGTCATGATGGTGCAATTATTTAGTTCCTCACATAGAAGTAGAAGTTATGTTGAGAAGAACAAGTCTCGTCAATGACACGTTCTTTGCAGATTCTTCAGCCTTTTTAAGATTACCTTCACTTCGGAAGAGCGGCTCCGTTGCTGTAAAAACAGATCGACGCGAAATTGTGTTTGACCAGTCCACTGAACCCAACACAACAATGCTAATGCAGTCTCTTACTTTGAGCAATATGAGAGCCGTTTTTTGCCATGCGTCTACACAATGTCATCTCCTCTTATCGTCCTCTCTGAAAGTCCCAGTCCGCTTTCGCAGCTCAATTACAATCCAACGCAACAAAATGATCTTCAAGGAGAATCTAGACGCCGCTGCTCAATCTCTTTCGCATTCGCTTCTGTTGATGTATCGGTAACGTTCATCTACTTTGGAATAAAAGGAAGCTGCTGCAGAATGAATCATGCAAAAAGTTGAGCGAAACGTTTTGAACTGACTTTGGATGAATCCGAAACGAGCTGTGCGTTAGTGAAGAGCGTAGTTGTCGTGTGTTCCTGGCGCTTATAATCAATGCTTGCTGCTGCACAAGACAAAAAAATCAAGGGATGAAAAAGGTTTTCCACTTCTTTCGTATGAAAAATTGCTCTTCGTGCTATTCAATATGACATGTCGCGCATGTTCTTTAGGTCAAAATAATTCTCCTTCTCCTTAGATGTCAACCTCTACTTTCATCAACTTCATCTACTTACTATGTGTATGTATGCGCGATGTAGACGAGCTACATGCTGTGCTTCTAGACGAACCACCTAACTGGTCATCTTCTGGAGGTTCTTTTTCGACCGTCCATCTGCCTTTGTCCTTCTCGTCCTGCGCCTGGTTTTCGTCATGAGTGTCCTCGTTCTGTCTACTTAGAAGAGGAGGAGGTGGGGGGATGAAACCAAGTAGTTGTATCAAATATGATTTAGAGGAGCACTACTTCAACATGTTCACGACCATAATTTCAACTACTGATCATGCGATAGTCAACGGCCTTTCTTAAGTTGTCTTCAGCTCTTCGCCTCCTGCTTGGTCTGCTCCTCTCGTACTGTTCTCGCTGTTCGTGCCTCATGATCTTCAGTTCACGCAGACACAGGAGACCCAAAAGGCTCGTAGACAAAATCCCTGTAATGCTGATCACCGTTGTCACAGTGAAGGCTTTAACCAAATAGCCACCAAGCGGTCGAAGCCACTGCTTTAACGCGTCACCTGTCGCGTTGCTTACGGGCGCTTAGAAGAGGAAGAGGTAGAAGATAGTATACTAATGTAAGACATGAACGATCAAATGATCATAATTCTTCACCGCCTGTTGTCTCTGCACGTCGACAAGATCTTGGACTTGCTGGTTCAAGGATTGGTACTTCAACGAGAACCATGTTATCACGGTGGCGACGGAGGTTGACACCGCTCCGATCGCAACAGGTATCAGCGGGAGAGGCATTGTATTGGTCGCGATAGATATAGAAGTGCTGTTGGGGAGGTCCTTTTTCTCGTGGTCATGTTCATCTGGAGGAGGATAAATCCTAGGATCAAGAACGGCATTATGTTGATACAACTACCATGATGAAAGGATATATTATACCTATCATAGGGATTTCTTGGCTTTGGCTCGCCTCGAAGAGGTGAGAGTTCACGACTACAAAAACGCCGAAACTGATTCTCCCCTGCTAAACCGAGCTACTCATGAACATGACATTGTCATCTTCTTGCGCGGTTGGATGACGTGCTAGCTATCACTACTACCTGGGGGGCTCGTCTTGTGCCCTGGGAGCTCGTCCCTCAAGTTCCTGAGAGCTCGTCCCTGGGAGCTCGTGATGGACGGCCTCCTAGTCGACGTGGACCCGTGTCCAGTTGACCTCACGTTGACCTGATGGCCTGTTGACCTGATGGCCTCAACGAACAAGCTACTACTCATGATCATGACATTGTCGTCTACTCTGTGGTCTTCAAGAAGATTTTCAGCACTGTATGTATCAAAGGAGCCTTAGGCTTATTTTTCTATCTGGTGTTGAATGAAGATTGACATTGGTAGGCATGGTAGCACACGCATAGGCATTGGTAGAAGTCAAAATCTAAAAACGTTGTTCAGCCACATCGTCCAGCAACTTATTAATGAAGAACAATCATGTATTCAATCTGTACAACTAGCTACAACATCAATACTTGCAAAATCATTATTTTTTTGTAACCCTTAGGCTTAGCCTTAGTACTTCGCAACCTTACGGAAAACGTTGAATGTTGAGATTCTCGATTGTGTAGTAATTCTGTCACTTCTCTATCATGGTGCACGTCATAAGTTGTAGTACGGAAACGATGTTACGCGTATAACGTCTATGCTATGTCAGTGAAATAGGTACATTTTTTTAGTGAAGAACTCCGTGTGAATCTCCATCCATAGTCGTGTGTGTAGTACGTTAACGTTTCATGGTAAATCCTAGGTAAACGATGTGTGATTTCTCGGAAAAGTAAGTTGATGGGTTAACTGTTGCGAAACTGGGTCAAAAAGACTAAAAAATCAAAGAAACTATCTTCATCTTGGGTGAAACCGAAACAAAAACATCTAACTTCTGACTAGGCAACCGTTAGGTATCTACACCAAGCCGCGGTTGCGGTTGAGGCGAGCACCCTTGGCATCCTTTGCCGGTACGGACGCAAATGGCTTCCCCTCCTTGCTCTTGTCTGCGCCCTGCAGGAGTCTTAGATGTTCATGTTGCTGTAGTTCTCGTAGAGAATGAGATCGTCGTCTAACGAGTCTTGTTCTTGTTCATATTCATTTTTAGTAGACAAGGAACGCAAGTGGACGAGCGAGAATCAATTACTATTACTCGGAGCTTTATCATGGAACGCTGCACGAAAATGTGAAACACCGCTTACACTACCAAAAAATGAAGGCATAAACTTTTTTCCTCATCGTCTGCGATCGCGTGCTCGCTTGTGGCGATGGCGCCATCTTGAAGTTCGCATTTCTCGAGGTCCTTCCACTGCAACCAGCGAACGGCGGCTGAGTAGTCCCAGTCCTTCAGTCCATGGCCTAAAGGAGACCGCTTGGCCTTATCGATGTACACAAAGTCCGGAGCGAGGCCTTCGTGCTGTTGTAGTGAAGTAGAGTTGAGTGAAGTAGAGTTGAGTGAGATGATCTCGAAGTAGCTGATTTGGGTAGAATGACTGTGGGGACGATGCTTCAAGATTGTATCTCTGTGTGACAAGTAAGACGAGCTAAATTGCGTTATTCATCAATAACTTCTATACCTGTGCCAAGACTTGGATTTTGATTTCTGGAATAACCGCTTCTGGCTTGATGTTGAGGCTTTTCTCGCGCTCAAAAACCTCCTGGGATACACCGGTTAGCATCAAACCACCAGCTTTCTCGAAGCTAAGCTTTAGAGCCAGCTCTCTGTAATTGATTCGTCTCTATATTTATTCATCTGGTGCATGATCATCTTCCTTTGAGAGTATATGTTTCTTTTTCTTAGCACTCACGAGAATAGATACTCAAGTATACAAACACTTTTCAACACCCAAGGACGTAGTTAGTATGCACCAAATAAAAACAAGATGAATTTGAATCAAATCTATAGAGCCTTAATCGTCCTGTGCGACTAGTTGGCGTATTTCCCATCTCCAACAGCTGGCGCATGCACAACAGAAAATCCGCATACGGGTCCAGATTCCACACTGAAGCCTTCAGACCGTCATAGCGCTCCGTGATATGAAGGGAGGGGGGATTGTGGTGGGGATGGGGATGAGGTTGTGTAATACCAGTGTGAAAAAATGGAAATGCTAGTGCATAGTTCTTCTCAATGTTAACAAGTGGAAATAGTCTTCAGATTATGATAGAAGAGGGGGTTTTCATCTCAACACTAGGGAACAAATCTAACAGTGACCAATAGTTTTGGTTTTTCATATCAACAAGAGTGAACAAATCTTCATAATGGCATTCCTGCGCTTTGTCTAGAGGGTGCTTACCGAGCACCTGTGCTAGTGCGAGATGGAGTGCGCCGTTGTCGGATGAGGAGTAGCCTTTGGGACGTCCGTGCTCCATCGTTCCCCAATAGCGCAAAAACTTCTTCGCTTTCTCACTGTTTCTAGCCATGTAGGCACCGGCCATCACCTGAGGAAATATGGAGGATTGCGATTTGAGTTCTAGTTATGGTTAATGATGTTTTGAGTTATGGAACAGAACACGTTTAGTTATGGAACACGAACATCAAGTTGTACTCGAGCACACCAGAAACTGCGGTGAACCTCGAAATCGGGATTTGAACGAAGTACATGGAGGATGATGAGTTCGTCAAAGGAAGAAAATCTAAGAAAATGTGAATCAGTACTTCATTCCTCTCATGCAAGCCCCACCCCCTCTCGTAGAAGATGAGATCAGTTTTCTTGTCCTTGAAATCGCGTAGATAGCTGTCCATATTCGGCATGAAGCCACGCGCGGCTACGTCCGCGTCGAGAAGCATGATGACCGTATTCGGATCGCTATGATCCAGATACTCAGCAACGAGACAATGGCGCACGAAAAACACATCGTGCTCGTTCATGCACCTGGGTTGAAAACAATCGGTTGGGGAATGGTTGGTTGGAGGTCGAGCTGGAATTGTATGTGATGTAGGACGAGGTCAAGAATTGAAACCTAGTGTTTCGTCAAAGTAGAAGTACTTTTTCCCATAAGGATTGTCCTGTGGGCGTGGGTTGAGGACTTTTGCCGTGTACCCCCAATATTTTGCGTAGCACTCGATACTCTTGATTTGCTTGGACATTCTCTTCTGGAAATTTTCATCCGCAAGAATCAAAAAATGCAAATGCGGCATATCGGTTGCCTGTGTAGATTGCAGAAGGAGTTCGAGTTGAGTCTAAATCTAATTCTTACGTCGTCTTCTACCGCTTTGCGCAGTAAGTGAGCTACAACAAGTTTCTTCTTCTTGTGGTTGTGTCAGCACTGCAATTACTGAAGATACCGCAGGTACGATGGTGGAATATGCCACAACAACAATCAAAAAGACCAACTACCTTTTCATACGCCTCCCGTCTCTGTTGGATACGCTGTAAAACTCCAGCTTTTTCATCAAGCTGCAGGAGGCTCAAGGCACCTTGCCTCTGGTATTCCTTCCTGGACGTCGAGGCTCCTGCTTTCTTTTGTTGTATTAGAACTAGAGGCGAGATTAGTTGTACTTCTAGTCCAAGCAGTTCATTTGTTGTGTTTCAACTGAATTTCTCCTGTTGGGTCAGCATCGACTGGTAGTAGTACTGGCTACTTATACCTCAGAAGTGAAGGGTATACTCAAAAGCCTTAACTTCAACCGACCATGTGCAAGCGATCTCGCTTTCTTCCGCAAGGCTTCCCGAGCAAGGCCGCGTGCTGCACTGTAGTGCGCCATAACCCCACAACTCGCTGCCTTGAGCAGCAAAAGTTTGGCTGCGCGCATTGTTACAGTACTCAGTTGATCCAGAACAAGCTGAATGTCTTACAAGAATTGCTTTGGAGGCGGTTTGCTTTTTAAACAAGACAGATGAGGTTGAAGTGTTTCTAGTAAGACTTTTTCGTCGTTGTACTGATCATGATGTACGCTCCTGTACACACTCGACGGCTCACTTCGGTTTGCCTCTCTCAGACACGAACTCTTCGTAAACGTAAGTACAATCACCGTGCCTACCTTTTGTTGAGGATACAGAACCTTCTCCACGGAAATGCACCAGTCCAGCTCCTAGTGGTAATGCTAGTTCTAGTACTATCTTCATAGACTCACAGAGAAGAACATGCACCAGCATCAGTATCGATATCTCTGCACGACTAGCAGAAATCCTTCGCCTGCCGATGACTGATCTCATCGGCTTCTTCTTGTTCACATCGCTGACAATCTTGATGTTGGGGTGGGTACTTATGTGAATGTATTGACTCAGATGATTCATCAACATCATGCTAAAACCAGAAATAAGTCAAAATGTTCAAAATATTCATTCAGCAGTGTTCCTGTTCATGTCCTCCTGAGTTTTCTCTTGCTCTTCCCGATAATGTGAATGCCAATAATTTCATCAAAATTTTAATTTCATAATGCTATCAAATTCATTTAATTTCATGCTTGTTCTTACAAGCGTCAACAGACTAATCATGAGTACGATGACCCTTCTACTCATCTTCCTTGCCGGGGGTCTCCGTCTGCGTCTGAGTCTCTGACTCCGCTGTCTCTTCTGCTTCTCCGATTTCACTGCGACGCACGATGTTGTACAGAATCTCCATTCCTTTTTTGTAGACCTGGTCCTCGACTTTCTTGACTGCCGTTGTGAACAATGCGGTTGTTCTGGCCTGAAGCTCGTGGCTGACCGCTCCCTTCATTGCAGTCCTTGCTTGCTCCAGTTGCGCATCATCTGAGAGATTCTCGACGTCTGTCCTGGCCTTTTGATACTCCTGAACGGCCTTTTTCATTTTGGCTTTCGTTTTCTCGTTGATGGCCTGTTGAGGGTCACTTAGCTCAAGATCCTTCTCCGGAATCTTCAAAGCAAGAATTTGTTCCTTGCGAGCAGGATTATTGGCATGGTTTTCCTTTTCGTTGCCGGCATACGTGTCGATCAAGACGTTGAAGAGTCGAATTAAGTCTCGAATGTTTTCGCGATCATCAGGATGGCAGCGAAGTCCGCCACGAAGAAACTGGGTATAGGTTTTGAAAAACGTGATAAATAATAGCTTTCAGATTCATGTTATGTCTCGCCTACCAAGAGTACACCACAGATTCTGTGGCGCAGTGGGCGAGCATAGTCATTATGTACTTGAGATGCGCAACCCGAGATGAACTACAGGATACTATTCGTTCCTTTTCATGTTCAAGTTCATCTTCATACAAATCTTCAAGTTGAACAGAAAATTGTAAATGATCAAAAAAACAATATCTCATTGCCCTGACTGAGCCTAACACGAAGGCAACCAAAGTAAAACAGAAAAATACGTTGTAAAGTGCGGTAGCGGTCTCGCCCGTGAAAAAAGGATTCTTGACAGTCTTGTCAGAATTTGCTTTCTTCCAGTACTGGACGGGTACCCCCAAAATTTGCAGGTTTGAAACACCATCGTAGGCACTGATGACCCGGCTCAAACCGCTATGCGTATGCAAAAGTTAGAAGACAGAAGTTTCATCGTTTATTGTTGAGTGCATCCCTCGATGATGATGTCTTTTCCCATATGTTCGCCCCCTTGTTGTGAAATCACGAAGGTCCCCCCCACCAGCATTCACAGACGACCACGACCACGTCGATAAAAAGTGAATAAAATTCAAATTAGGAGCAGTTGTAGACTCTCTTAGTTTTACTCTTCCTTAAAAGTAAAACGGTCGTTTTTTCGTCTTTGAGTCTGGCTTGTGAGCGTTAGTAGCCATCGGCTCCGTTGCTTCTACGGGCATGATTGGCGCGTCGTCATTCGGCGCAGATTCCCCTAGTGTGTCGCTAGTGATATCCGCAATCTTGGAAACCGTGTTCCAGATGTCTTCTAGATGCTCTTTCGCCTTAGGAGTCAACTTGCACACCGCATCGCACCTCTCCCTCTCGCTGTTCTTGTCGGTAATTCTTAGAAATGCATGCTCGTTGTGTTTTTGTGTGTCTACAACAAGGATGACAAGAACTTCCGCTAAGGGATGATCGTGTTCTTGTACGAGGACGGGTAGTTACACTAACACTTAATAGAAATAGTAAATGGAGAATAGAAATATGAAAGGTGCTGGGAAAGTATTTCTAATATTCTATTTCTTGTCGTTGATAAAGATCAGCAACTAGGATTTCTATTAGCCGTATAAATTCATGGACTTCGTCCTTTTCGACGGACAACCAATGTGCGACTCGGCAAATCCCGTCGTCCCACTCAGTCCCACTACGCGGATTCCTCAGCTCGTCGTCTCCCTCGTGAAAAAAATGAAAGAGCCCGTTCGCTTCGAAAAAAAAGGGACCAGCTGAAGGGCGGTCAGTGGCCGGCGGGGCGAGCCAGCTGCTCTCCAGACCTCCAAGAAGCTTGAAACTCGTCTGGGAGTCAGATTCGAGTACATCCCCATCTTCGATATTGTTCATGGAACGAAGCTCCTCTAAGCGTGGCTGTGCTGGTGGTGCTACAAATTGGAGATACGGATCATTTCCTTTTGTAGCTGCTGGGTACACTTCCGGTGACAACACGAATAGCATCTCAAGCATGCGCGTAAAAAGGAAGCACACGCTCCAAATGTCGACTCTTGTGCTATAACGTTGACGTTGCATCTCCTTCATATGTGCTAAGCTCGAAGCCACTGTGCGTAGTTCCGGTGGGCGGTAATACGCTTCAACGACAATGTCGTTGCCATTGTCGCTGTTCTCGCCGATGGACGCCATGCCGAAGTCCAGGAGGACAGGATGCGGCGTATCAGTAGCTGTAGTTGACGATGTATTGCACATAAAACAGTACTCGCATTCAAAAATCAAAAATTTTTGTTAAGATATTTAACCTAGCTAGGTTAAGTATATAGTTAAGTTATGTTAAGTAGCTATTTTAGATGTGGGCTGCAGAATCCTGCAGGCAAAACCAGGTGGCGACGATGATGATGGTGGCAGGAGTCTGTTGAAGGCGAAGGCCAAGGATGCGCCTGGGCTATCGACTGTCTCCCAGTGAAATGATAAGATCGCAGACTCGTCTCCCGCAAAAAAGCCACGTTTTGTGGCTTCAGATCGCGATGCACGACACCGTGATCATCCAGATGAAGAAGACCTAAAAGTACGCCACGCACCGAAGGCAAGTACACCATCGAAAAAGTGTCCTGAATCTTGGTACCTGGCGCCTTGATTCGGTCGGATAGCGTTCCACCAGGAAGCTTTGGCATCAGTGTGTGGACGTGCGGCACTTGGTTTATCTCGTCTCGCGAAAAATCCTTTGCACTAGACGGATACCTCTCGGGAAGTTTCATAGTTGAGAAGGAGGATGAGACAGGTTCCCACTGAGTAGACCGAGTCCTGTCTCCTTCGCCTGGCATGGGTACCCCTGTGCCGAATCCAATGCGTGTACCCAAGAGCGAAACCACGTGTGGATGGGGGGGAAGGTTTTCCAGGATATTGATTTCATTCAGTACTCTCCACGGTAATTGAATCGGTCTCGATGTGATGCCGAACAAAGGGAAGACTAGCTGGGACTTCACTACAATGTGTGAAGAAGGAGGAGGTGGGACCTTTTCCTGTTCTCCCTGCCGCGGCTGCTCATTGTCAATGTTGTTACTCTTCACTGACACTGCCGTAGTACCACCGGTAGCGGTACTACTAGGAGTATGAGGAGGGTTTGAAGGACTTGCTGCTTCTTTTTGCTTGTGCAGGGAACTCCGCGCAGAAGCTGCTTCTACTGTTGGCGTGATAGCCAAGGAAGACTGCTGCTTCTGCTTCTGCTGGTGCTGCTGCTTTTGCTGCTGCTGCTGCTGGTCCTCGAAGGTCACAGTGGCTATGGCGGTGTCGACCCGATGATCCCGTGGTCCCAAATACGGCAAATCTGCGATATAAGCGTAGTGTCCTTTTCCGACCGCAGTACCTGTCTTTACTTCGTCTTCTCTTGACCAGATGAGAGCCGAAGCGCACTTGTTACTAGAAGAAGTTGATGGTTGCATTTGTATCAATGATGTTGATGTGGTTTTCCTTACTCCGACAATCTCAACATGGGGAAAAAGCGGTCGGCAATTCGCCTTACAAAACTCGTTCCCATCTCCGTCTTGAGCATTCTCGCGAGCTTGGCAAACAGGTCCACCGCTAGTTTTGTCTCCTCTAACTACATCGCAGAAGTTGTAGCACGGATCTTGTCGCAGAAACTGTGCTGCTGACGTGCTAGTTACACCAGCAGCGTTTGGCGGTTTAATCGTGATTGGAAAATTGTATTTGTAATGTCCACGTCCACGTTCTTGTTGTTGAAGTAGTTGTGGTTGTGGTTCTTGGTCTGTTGCAGAAGACAATGAGGTTCTCTTGACATCTAAAAACGCCGTTGCACTGGCAACTACTCCAGAGTTCTTTTGTTCATCATCATCTTCATCATAATTTCTCGTAGTAATGCTTTTACTACTACTTGTTCTACTAGAAGATGAAGTTGTCGTCTCGAAAGGAGCCGACAAAACGACCCCTACCGGAAGTTCTTCCACGACAGGGGCCGTGTCGCCAGATGCCGAAACGTAGACGGGCTGCAAAAACAAGTTCGGCGCTGTTGGATAGGTGTAACTTCTCGTCGTTACATTCTTAGAAGCGAAGGCAAAGGCGCAGAGACACGAATGCAACAGGATCATCTGCAAAAGGCGAAGTCTTTGGAGATAGGTGATGATCTTGTCGATGTTGATGAAGCTTGAGGCGGGCGACCTCATCCTCAGGATGCCTTTCGTACTCAGCCTCAGCTTTCTCGTCCTGGCTTTGGTGGTCGTGCCCACCTGCGATGCCGATGCTGAGTGCATTTTGGATTTGCGGTATTTGCCTTTGAAATTGGCTAGCAGAATCAAACGCTGGTAAAGGTAAAGTAGATTATCTTAAATCCTTATCATCTACAAGCTAGCTCGAGTTGTAGTAAGTATTGCATTCATCATGGCATTGGAGGAAAGTATGTAACTAGGCACGTTCACGTAAAAATTCAATTGTCTAAATTTTCATTACTCAAAGGCTCGTCCTCGTCCTGAGGTGCTCCAGAGTGGTGTTAAAAGGTCAAACGTTTGGGGGGTTCCATCACTGCAAGAACGATTGAGGTTGTTGGAGTACAAACACGACCGATGGCGGACATATCACAGGTAGAAATCACACAAAGGAAGTGGGTCCTGGATGCTTTTACCGATGGCAACTTGCAAATGTGAATATCCGATGTAAATTCCAAGTTTGGATTTGGATTTGGAGAGTTCAGAGTTGGGGCTTCTTTTTTTTGTAATGCCGGGTAGATTGAAAGAATCTCCCGACCTTTATCCAGTTCACAAACCGGGGGCAGCCGGGGTATATAAGCCCCTCTACCAAAACTGCCTTTTTTTTGTAGCCAGGCGACTACATCTGCATATCCTTCAACATCCTCATCGTGATGTATATCATCACGAGTGATACACATTCTCATTCTCTTTTACGTCTGATTTTTCATCTCTCACTCTGCTCAAAATCTACGTTTTCGCGTTTGCTTGCCAATACCAAATGATCCCTCCAACTCCCATGGTGCAGTATCATGAACATTCAGCAAAAATAACTCTGCTGCTGCATCTTAGTCGATGATCTTTTGAGCGGCGATGAATGATGCGGGCATCGTCTTCGCACCAGAAAGAATCGTGAGACGGACATGTGACGGCAAATTTCATGTTTATGAAGGAAAAAAGTCAAAATGTTCAAAATTTCTTTTCGCATCTTGTGCCCGCGGTTCATGTGCTCAGGCTTAGTCGTGCTCGCCTTCACTAAAATTCTGGTAACAAGTAAATGAAGTATGAACTTGATCGCCTTATCGTCAAGCAAGAGTCAAGAAAGTCAGACTCATGTTAGTCAATACAGTTTTACGTCATGTGTGCATCTCAAGTGACTATCCTCAATCACTGGCAAGATGAAACAGTCCCTGAAGCGGTCCAGCAAGGTGTTGATATTCATAACCTCGATCACAATGTTATATTATGATAGTAAATAGTCCCGATCGCGATCACAGTCTCAGACTCTCCTCAGTGTCTTCATCTAATTCACCATTGTTGATTTTCTCCTATTCAAACTCCACCTCCATCGCCTGCGCCTTCTCCGAGTTCGCTGCGACGCACGATGTTGTACAGAATCTCCATTCCTTTTTTGTAGACCTGGTCCTCGACTTTCTTGACTGCCGTATTGAATGCGGTTGTCTTGACCGGAAGCTCGTGGCTGACCGCTCCCTTCATTGCAGTTCTTGCTTCCTCCAGTTTCACTTCAGCTGAGAGATTCTCGACGTCTGTCCTCGCCTTCTGATACTCCTCAACGGCCTTCCTCATTGTGGCTTTCGTTTTCTCGTTGATGGCCTGCTGAGATCCAGTTGGTTTTTTTAGCTTGTCTTCCGGAATCTTCAAAGCAAGAATTTGTTCCTTGCGAGCAGGGTCATCGGCGTGGTTTTCCTCTTTGTTGTTGGCATACGTGTCGATCAAGACGTTGAAGAGTCGAATCAAGCCTCGAATGTTTTCGCGATCATCAGGATGGCAGCGAAGTCCGCCACGAAGGAACTGGATGAGGGAGAGGGTGATCGCAATCGCTATGTATCTATAATAATGTAACTTTCATGTGTAGCGGTCGATCACAGTCATGCTTTGAGATGCTAAAACTTAAACTAAATGTTTTAACAGCGGATGAAAATGATCAGAACGATCACGGTGTAGTACTTCTAGTCCTGATGTTGAACAAGGCAACAAGAACAACTACTTTAAATTGGTAGCTAGAGTACAAAAACAGTACGTTGTAAAGTGCGTTAGCGGTTTCTCCCGTGAAAAAAGGATTCTTGACTTGCCTGTCCTCTTCAAGATATTTCGGTAATCCAAAAATTTCCATGTTCGAAACACCATCGTATGCACTAATCATCCTACTCAAGCCGCTATAGGTATGCATCTCTTAGAGAATCAGATATCTTTCAATCGTTCGTGGCACTGGTTGAGTGCATCCCTTGATGTCTTTTTTCTTAGGTTCAGGCCGTTGAAATCAAGGAGGTCCCCGCCAGCACTCAGCCCACGTGACACGATGAAAAACTAGACCCTTAAAAGTAGGACGCTTTATTCGTCTTCGAGCCATCGGGAGGAGCCATCGACTGCGCGTCGTCGATGCCCACCCCCTTTGCATCTGTCCGCCTGACAGAAGACATTCTGGCGTCGCGGCTGTCGTCCGCAGCTTCCGATTCCGGTGTTTTGCTAGAAAACACTTTCTGCGTGTCGCGATCCGCGACGTCCGAGATGACATTCCACACATTGTCCAGATGCTTTTTCGCTTTATCAGTCAACGTGCACACCTCATCGCATCTCTGCCTCTCGCCGCTCTGGTCGGCAATTCTTAGAAATGCATGCTCGTAGGTGTTGTGTATCTACCGCATGATAATCGAAACCTTCGATGCATGACCATGATGATTATATATACATAGTAAGAATCATCAACATGTACAACTAGTAGAAGTAAAAACAGTGTAAGGAGGCATCATTAGTCGTAAATAAAAAGCAAGCTTCTCAAATAAAAGCATCCGAACAGAGTCAGAGAACTATCGCCAGTAAATGTATGACTCACTCTCACTTTGAGAAATCGATATTGATAATTCAGTAGAGGACTTCTAAGCAGCCGCACTTACAACAAGATGATTTGTCATTACGTCGCGGCCTTAGAAATCCCTTACTTTCGTCTTTCTCGACAGACAACCAATTCGCGACTCGGCAAGTCGCATCTTCCCAACCGGAGTCATCACTCGGCTCCGGCTTCTTCATCTTTTTCGTGTCCACATCGAACAACTGAAAGAGTTTCTGCAAGCGGAAAAAATAGGGACCCGCCTCCTGTGTGTGAGGCTCAAGCCAGTAGTTACGTTCCAGTCTGTTAGCGTCAAGTAGTGTGAAACTTTTCTGGGTGTAAGATTCCACCACCGAATCTATGGGATCATCCTTCAGATCGGCAGGCAGCTCGACGTCAGGAATAAGGAGAAGCTCGTCCTCTACATCTGATACAACATGAAGCGACGGATTCACGGGTAGCTGAACTTTCCGAACTGGCGTGTCGTACACTCGCGTGTTAGCAAGCGGCAACACGAATAGCATCTCAAGCATGCGCGTAAAGAGGACGCAGGCGCCCCAGATGTCTACTTTTCTGCTATGTCGTTGACGCTGCATGATCTCGAGGTGTGTTGGGTCCCGAGCCTTCGTACGTAGTTCCGGTGGGCGGTAATACGCTTCAACGACAATGTCGTTGCCATTGTCGCTGTTCTCGCCGATGGACGCCATGCCGAAGTCCAGGAGGACAGGATGCGGCGTATCAGTAGCTGTAGTTGACGATGATGCCGATGGTTCTTTTGTACTCGTCTCCCGCAAAAAAGCCACGTTTTGTGGCTTCAGATCGCGATGCACGACACCGTGATCATCCAGATGAAGAAGACCTAAAAGTACGCCACGCACCGAAGGCAAGTACACCATCGAAAAAGTGTCCTGAATCTTGGTACCTGGCGCCTTGATTCGGTCGGATAGCGTTCCACCAGGAAGCTTTGGCATCAGTGTGTGGACGTGCGGCACTTGGTTTATCTCGTCTGGCGAAAAACCCTTTCTTGCACTAGACGGATAGCTCTCGGGAAGTTTCATAGTCGAGAAGGAGGATGACGATGAGACAGGTTTCCACTCAGTAGACCGAGTCCTGTCTTCTTCGCCTGGCACGGGTACCCCTGTGCCGAATCCAATGCGTGTACCCAAGAGCGAAACCACGTGTGGATGTGCGGGAAGGTTTTCCAGGATATTGATTTCATTCAGTACTCTCCACGGTAGTTGGATCGGCCTTAACGCGCTTGGGAGCAAAGGGAACACGGGTTGCGATTTCACCACAATTGCTGCTGCAGTTGCAGGAGGTGCTGTTTGTGGTGGTCGTCGCACTACCCCAGAGGATGGCGATGTAATCGGATTCGGAATGTGCAAGATCTTCACAGTAATTTGTTCGTCCGCATTTCGAACATTTCCGAAGTCCTGCAAATCTTCCACAAACCCGTAGTTGCCCTTCTTCATCGCCACGGGGTGGTCGTCTGAGGACAACCAATGAAGCTTGGAAGCGCAAGGGTTTTTTGCCGTCTCGTCCACTACATCTTCTCCAATGGGTTTCAAAGGAAAGAACAGTGGTCGGCAATTATCGTGGCAAAACGAACCGCCCTCAACGTCTCCTTCAGCCGTGTTGTCGTGGCGAGCTTCACAAAGGCCGCCTCCCGTCTCGACATGATCACAAAGCTTAAAACACGGATCTTGGCTCAGAAACTGGGCTGACGTACTTTTGATAGTATGAAAATCCGCCGGCGTTTCAGGTACAGTTACTTTAATATCGATGGGAAAACAGTAACGCTTGGGCTGCTCTTGATGTCCTTCTTGTCCTCCATGTGCCACTTGTGCAAAAGCTGGAGATGGCACAGATGAGGCTTTCGTCATTTCGAGAAACATAGATGTTGCAGTCGCATTTCCACCTGGCAAAGTACTTGCAAGATCATCCGCTTGCCGCAGAAATGTCAGTTCACCATACGGAGAGACAACCACTCCAGCATTATGCTGCAGGAACGACGTTGAAGACGTCGGAACTACCAAGTGAGCTTTCGAGTACCCATCAGGAGATGTAGGAGGAGTACTTTCCGAAGCGCCGAAAACCGAGCTGGAAAAAGAAAATAGTAACCCAGGGAAGCAAAGCTTGTTGCGTTTGACGAGGTTACCCGTTCTCTTCTCCTGCGTGAGTGACTTCCTCATCTTCGTCTTGGATTCAGGATCAATCTTCTCCGACGCAAACACGACACGACTTGATGCGAACATTTTTTGGATCTTTGATGAATCAACAGTGTTATTTTTCTGAGACTGCCTTTGACTTGAAGTTTACAAACTCAAGAAGAACAACAATTAGAATTAATTAAATCAATGATTGAATGTCAAAAAATGATTTTGATTTTTTGGATTTTTGATGAACCAAGAAGAGTGATTTTTTTTTTGACTTAATATCAATGGAAAATTTTGGGGTGAGTTGTCAATATCATGGGGACGAAATTTTGTTGGCGGATGAATTAGAAGAAGAAGACACCATACTCATACAGATACAACTCATACTGTGCCTAGGCGTTCCATTTGGTCAGAATCTTCTTCGCCACTCAAATACAGACTCCAGATGCTCCACCAGATCGTAGTTAGAATCACATTTTTTCCCTCATAGGATCTAGTATGTATCATGGACCCTGTTTTTTTTGACGGCACGTGCCAGAATATTTTACCTAATGAACTAGTGAAAAGTTAGACGCTCAGAAACAGATCATCAATCTCAAACAGAATCACATCAGAAATCAGAAACAACGGACGCCTCAACAACATTTTCGACAACAGCCTTGAGATCATTAGATCCAATTCCAAAGAACAAGTCACGTCATAGTAGGAGCAGTTACGAAAAGGTATATTTCTATTCATTTTTTGGTTCCATTTAGATTTGAGACCTGTATATGTGCATTCGCCAGAAAGTGGAGAAAGTCTTCAGGGCGAGGTAGAACATTAGGAGAACATTTCTTCTTATCTGTGCATTCATCAGTACTATCGGAACATTACCCATTTGATGGATCATGACGGGGTCGGGGAAACTTATGGCCGCGTTTCATTAATTTTGATTATTTTGTGCGTATTCAATATAGTCAGCCTTTTCCTATATGTTGTAGTATCCGCATCTAGGTTATTGTCAACTACTACTGTCACTGTCAGTTGTGTCTGTAAACTGGAAATTGAAGGTTCATTCATTGGTTTTGGTTTTCTCTTATCCAACATAATTCTTGGCACTTAGCGGATTTAGCGGAATTATTCTCACATTTCTGGTTCGTTCTTACAACTAGGAAAAATCTCACGCCTTCGGTTCGCACTTCTCTACGTCCTTCCAGTGGAGCCAGTGTCTGGCGCCATCGAAGTTCTTCACGCTATACTTAGCGCCGCTCTCTGTAGTACTAGTACGTACTAGCTACTTGAATCTAGTATATCTATTTACGCTCTCTGTAGTACTACTTGTGAATATCTATGAATAGTGTAAATAAGTATCTTCGACTGATTGACTGATTGCTTGATGTGCCTGACATGATGTGTCGAAGGTCTAATTGATTGCAATCATCAGAAAAGAGCTTGTCTCCATATTACTATAGTACAACATGTTCATGTTGTCTCCAGTGAGCTTCATTTCTGCCCGCTCTTCCTGGAGCATGAATCAAAATTCTATTGGGTGGCCGACTGAGTCCACGAATGTTACGGCTGGGTTTGGAAAGGTGGTTTTTCCTACTTCAATATGTAAGTAGTTAGTTATCCCAAGCAGCTATGACTCTAGTCTTCCTTCCATATTACTTTAGTACAACATGTTCCATAATATGACCCAAAGGTGTCGACCTTTCCACGGATCCAAAATCCGGTACGAATGCGTGGTCCTTTGCCAGCACACGCACTTTAATCCCAGGAATCACTGCGTCTGGTCGAGACGAAAGCAAGTAGATTAGACTAGAGGAGATAGACGTGGCGGGCATAATTCATCACAAGTGGAGATGTATTGTTTGGGTATTCGGTAGCCCGATTTTGATCATAAGGGAAAACAAGAAGAGAATCTCTGTGATCAAATTCAGGCTATACCAAAAATACCGAAACCATTCAGGAGATAGACGTGGCGGGCATATTAATTCATCACAAGTACTAGACGATCACGATCTTCAACAACACACAACAGAGCCCTGTAGTTCTAGTTGTGCATATCAGAGCAAAAGCTCTTGTACTAGAGCTCCTGTAGGTCTAGTTGTATCTTCATCTGCTTCTCATCTGTATATCTTCATCGATCTCAGCAATGTTCTCGACAAGCCAAAAATCGATGTACAACGTGAAGATCTACTAGACTTTTTACATGCATCACCATCATTATTTCGCCATTTCATCAACATCATAAAGTGTTATTCACACCGAGAAGAAGCATGCCGTTTGCTTTCTCGAAATCCTGGCTTTCCACGAAGTGCGGATCTTTTGCTTGATAGGTAAACCATGGCGTAGGTCCAGGTCCGATGTGCAACAAGCTACGGACACAACCAAGCCAATGGAGATTAGATCTTATTGTTAGGACAAAAACATAAGTACTAACTTCTTAGATTGAAGGTCATTTTCACCATTTTCTGTATCCTCACGTCATCCTCCGTAACTTCATATGGATGCATGTTGTCCACCTTGGCTACGAGACCGTAATACTGCTTGGTGCACGCTTCAGCATCCGTCTTGGAGATCTGGTGGGCTGAATACATCAGATTCTTGCTGGCTACGTCGGAATTAGAAGAGGTCCTCCTTCTAAGTAGTAAGAAGCTTGGTTTTGTTGTTTGGAAGTCTTTGAAGGACATCTCTAGGAGGCATGGGCACCTATCAAGTAGTTGAACTATTAGAAGTAGTAATACAAGGACGATGTTGATAGTGAAAGTGAAATATTTGCTTACTACAACACTCATACTCAACCGTAATGACTCCATTAGCATTTGCACTTGCTGTCTTCGATCGTCCAGTTTCGGCCAGTTGAATTCCATTTTTGAACCTTGATGACGGTGTCCAACGCGCCACTAATTGGCCACCATGGCTCTCAATGATCGACTCAGAAAGACCACTGGCTAGGATACGAGATTAGAGGAACACAACGATTTTAATTCTGTTACTGCCTCTAACTCTACTACTAGAGGTCGTGGTTGTACTAGTTTAATTGGAGTACCTGCATCAATATGAAACTTTCAAAAAGCAGATCATGACAGCCTCTACTATTTACCCTAACAAGAATCTCCGACGACTAAGTATGTCTATGTTCTTCGTTGTATAAATGTATGCCTCCATAAGGAGATGTACCTCCTACATGTGCCATTCCAGCGACCTTCAGCATGCTGCGTTCAATCCCACGCATGGCCAGTTCGTGCTCATCCTCTCCACTAGTCTGAGAAGTGCCAGCGGTGGAAGGACTCATCTGATGCTGTTTAGAAGATATAGTAGATGTCGAAGCAAGTGATTCTTTGCGATATGGATATCCATATCTATGCAGATGCATCCTTAAATCTTCAGTAGTATGATCTTCTACTAGTTAGTACTGTTTCATCTATCATCCTCAGACGAATAAATTATGGGTCTTTTTGTGTTCTAGTTCTTCGTAATCGAAGAAGTCAAACACGACAAACCACCATGAAAAGTCGAACACGAACAAGAATAGAACTCGTAATTTGTTTTCCCTCCTCGGACACTCTGCGCATGAGTCGTCTACTCGCTGAGCTCATGCTCGTTTGCAGGAAACCAGACGCCGGCGCCGACTGAGACTGGTCCACATATATTATGAACGGAGAAATATGTTTTCGGATTTAGGATACCTCTATCTATTTTTTGATTTGGAAGATCACACCAATGCAACCTATGATATGAAGACATTTTGAAAGTTTGAATACCACCACCACGTTGCGGGAGCTTGAGTTTGAGTTAATCATGTTTATAAGGCAGCATAATTCCTCTAGCTCCACCTGTAGATGCACCTGCTTTTCGCGTACTCGTGCCTCGTGGCATCTTCATCGTATCTAGTGGTTTTCCATTGGCATCGAGGCGAGTTGGCGTCAGAACCAGATTTTCCTTGGAGTGCTGTGTCAGTACTTGCGCCATTATCCTTTCCGCCTCAGCCTGCTCGGATCCTACCTCATCTGCATCTTGGTCCTCAGGATGTGGATCCTCGTCTTCTTGAGGATCCTTCACCTTCTTCGTGCTATTGTTCTTATCTCCTTCTTTCTCCTGTTTTTTGCCTTTCTTCTTCTTCTTGGACTCTTGTGCTTGTGAAGACAAAGAAAATGTGGAGGGAGAACTGCTTTGATCTTTCTTCTTTTCATCGCATGACTTGCTGTGATACACGATCGGATCAGGTGGTGAACTTTGTCCTTGCGACGAAGAAGCCTGCTCTTGCAGAAACAGTACAGGTTCCCCTTGATGTAGTTGCCGAATTAGAACTTGACGACATCTTGTAGTTGTATGTCGTTCATGACAAAATAAACATCGATTGATATATTTCTTAAATGATCCAATTTCAAATTCTAGGAACTAGAACTACGTCCTCGTCATAAGTGGCTCTCCTGATAGTCCGCAGGCAACTCCTTTCCGGTTACTACCACTCCTGTGGCCTCGTAGAGGGCGAGATGGATAGCACCATTATCCGCAGACGCAAATCCAGGTGGTTTCCGAGCGTTCAAACCATCCCAGTAGCGCAAAAACTTCTTCGCCTTAGGCGTATTGCGAGCCATGTAGGCACCGGCCATTACCTAGCAGGTTCAGGTTCTTGCTTGTTTGACGGTCTCTAAAAATGATTTACTAGTAGAAGATGACGGCTTCACTATATCTATTTCGTACCAGTATCAGATATCTTAGTACCTCATTATGTCCTCCAGGTCCCCATTTTCGTTCGAAGAACATCAGATCGTAGTCCTTCATTTTCTGGATGTAATGGTCCATGGAGGGTGAGATTAAAGGAGGTAGAAGTTTGAAATTGTTGGTACGAGCTAGAATCAGTAAAAAAATCTGATTAAAATAGAGCTCCTGGATGAATCAATGACAATGAATATCTTCTATGCAAAACCAGTAGCTAGCGTCCCTCGCCATAAGTTCAAGTCTCTGGCTGCCACATCAGCATCGATGAGAAGGGCCACTGTGTCTGGATTTGCTTCGCCTGTTTTCTGCTTTGCATCCAAATATTCTGCTAAAAGGCAATGTCGTACGTAAAAAACATCGTTGTTGGCACGACATTCGGCAGAGTATGAAGAAGAAATGGGGAGGTCATAGGTAATATCCTGGAGGAGCCAGGTTCTTGTTCTTCTGTAAAGCTAAAGGTACTTAATATGAAACAAATCGAAGTACTTACAACTAGATGTAGATGAATGAAGTTGAAGGATGGATACAACGTAAACATCCTGTTCAAAATAAGTAGAAGATCACATCCGGTGATAAGCTTGAGTAGGGATTCTTCTCTGCGTTCGGATTTAGGACGATGAAGGGGTAGCCCCAGTGGTCCGCGTAGCACTGGACACTGCGTATTTGCCTGCGATAGCGATCGCGGAATCCGTCATCTGCCATTATCACGATGTGAAAATTTTTTCCAGGAGTTCCTTGGTGATCCTGGACAAGGTGTCCATCATGTATGCTTTTTCTTGTGGAGGACAAGGATGCTGACGCAAGGACCACTCCTGCATGATGAGAAGGTCGTCGAAGGTGGCCACTAGTGCCTCGGTGTGAAGAAGAAGAAGATGTAGTTCCTGTTTTTTCTTCTTCAAAGTTGAACAACAATGAAAACGCCAAGAACTGAACCAGCAAGAGCACAGCAGACGCGACAATTGATGTCCTCGAAGAATGCAGTCTTTTTGAAGACAACATTTTGCCTCGTCGTGTTGCTCGTCGAGGACGAGTGCCTTGTGTTCTTGTTCGTTATTAGGGCATGATGATGTAGTTGATCTTATTGGAAGATATACCTAAATCATCTACTTGTCATGCCATGTCGAAGCTCTGCATCTCAAATTTTTTTCGCCATCTTCATCAAGTTCATCAATGTCGATCGGTAAATGATATTTTTATTAGGTTCTCGTGTGTGAAACACTGACTATGCAGAAGAGAATTCTTGTAGCAATAGTTTCATAATCATAAGTTTGTTGTTGGTGTTTCTAATATGGCGACAATGTCACTCCCTCTGCAGCAGTATCTCTCGCTTCACAATCTTATCGCTTCCATTTTTCACTTTCACATCTTTATCAACAGCTTTGCTCTCCAGCTCCATGTCGATACGAACTTCTCTCTTGTCGAACTCACAAATACAGCTAGCCCGTAAAGGAACCAATGGCCTCAACAAGTAAAGTGTTTCAGGGAGCCGCCGGCTGCAACTGCATGATAATATGGAACTTACTTCAATGTTTCAATCTTCACTAGATCGAAGGATTTCGATTTAGTTTGTGTGCGGATGAAGGTTGGTGCGAAAAAGAAAGCTGGCAATAAAAATGTATCGGCGAAGACCTGAAGCAACAACACTCGTTCTTTTCTACATCAAGTAGCACAACCAGATTCTATACGTAGCCAACTACAATGGGGGGATACATCAACTCTCAAAAATGCAACTCATCACATTGATTGTTGTTGCTTTTATCTCTCGGCAACCTCGCTCCTCTAGTTTCTTTGTAAGAGAAAGTGGTCGTTTTTCAAAGACAGAGGTAGGATCCTTCCTGCGAGTCTTGGGAAGTGACACCGTAGCGGTAGCACCATCACAAAAATTTCACGATGAACTCTTAGTCTTACATCATGGACCATGTCATCATGTTCATTTCCTTCTATTCCAACATAGTAGTCTTTACATCGAGAACAAGGGAATCAAGAACTAGAAGGCGCTTGCACTCAAATTTTACTCTTCTCCAATATAAATATCCGGCACTTAAATCTTACTTTCCTCTAATATCGGTTTCATAATGTACCAGAGATCCGGAGACATGTAGTCCCGATGATCACGGAGATACATGTGATTGATGCTCTTCGTCTTCCAGGTTGTGCCGGACAGGAGATTTTCAATCTCCAATGTCTTTTGCCTGTTCGCCAGAACTGTCCTCGTTAGCTTAGAGGGAGGTTCTTGGTGTTCGCTTGTCCCGTTTGTGATGGCCGTTCCCCTTAGGAGAGCCATAACAAACGGTAACAAAAGCACCTTTAGCCTACCCTTAATTAGACCAGGGTTCTTGGTGGCGCTGGGGTCGTTGTGTCGATTGCTGGAAGCGGTCCACCAGATTGTGTGATGTTAATAAAAAAATAATGTTACCTAGTTGTATCTATAAGTACCTGTAATATACAAGAAGTCCAGCAAGTGTTAGAAGATTCTTCATAACTCAATGAGTGCCATAGCCTCTCGTCGAGCCTTTAATTCCAACTGGCCTCCCATCAGTGTCGGGAACTGATTCCGAGGAGAGTGGCCGAGATGATTGTTAAAGGCCAGGACCTTCATTGCTTAGAGGATGTTGTGGTTGGGGACAAATTGGGAACATCAACTTCTTCTCCGAAGATTCACATTCTTGATCATCATCATGTCAACAACATGTTGAAGATGTTCATGTTGACGGACCACATGATTTTCAACGATCAACATCTTCAAGAACATGGTTGTAGAATCATGGATCAGGTTCTTGTAAACTTCGACGTTGATCCACCTCCACCATAAGCCCAAGTTGGATCATGGATCGCAACTAAAGCACCTGTACTTCTGGCGTACATGGAGGTCATTTTATCCGGAGTAAACCAAAAGGCAACAGTACACACTATCCCGATAACGCCAAATCCCGCAGGCAGCAAAGTGATACAGTAGAGGAGGACGGGAGTTAGAATGAGCTAAGGCTAATCAAGAACTTGTACTCGATGAAAATAGTAATAGACTGACAAGTATCAAAAACAAAAACTTCTCCTCACATCAAATTCAAAACCAAATCTACGCAACGGCATCAATAATACTCATCGGTGAAGTTGTAGTTTTGACCACGCCGACGCCTTTTTTCGTCTTACATTATCGTCATCATCTTACTTGTCGAACACCTATCGCTAACCATCAACAAGAAAGAGTTCATCTCCATAATGACACTGCGAGAAAGTTGGTAGCAAGGACGCCAGTAAGGTAGTTGTACCCAGTCGCCTCCAAAATCCGGATCAAAGCTACTGTTCGACACTGACAAACTGGAACGTCTCTTCCATCTTGTTCGCGAGTAGAACTTGTCAAGCCGCATACCGAGAGATGCGATGTCATGAAGGCCATGAACATGCAGATGAGTATACTGGCAAGAAAGCACATGCATGTAATCACGGCTGCGATCTTGGCGAGGGTGCGTACTAACCGTGAGGACTCCAACGGGTCGCCGGAAAAGGAGAAAGGACCAGATCTGCTGTAGTTTTCGTCAGATGATTCGAGTTGTTATAGAAGAAATTGGATTACTAGTATATTAGCCCTTGAACACGAGTACTACTGAGACCAAGAGTCGTAGCCTTCTGCGTCATGTTGACAGGAATATGATGAGGCGTCAAAAGCATTTATCTTCGTGAATCACGTTTTCGAATGCTGACGTTGTAGCACATAACCAAACAAGCAGGTCGGGAGTTGGTACTTACAAGAACAAGGAAAACTACTCTTCATCTAGCTCTACTTCTTAGGAAACTACGCTTGAATGATACTAGTCACTTCTTTTTACAACTTAGAAATAAATAGTTGTCACCGTCCATATGTTCCTGCTCCGAAGTTACTCCCGAAATGCCCCTCCGTGTCAAACGTGAGAAAACCATAGGCAATAAACCCCATCAGGCCTGAAAAAACCAACCACAGCTCGATGAGAATCCACAATTCCCGTGTTTGCGTTTCAGGTTCCGCAAAAACCAGATGGAGAGAAACAGCCCACAAACCTAAAATCTCCCGACATTCGTGTACCTCCTTCTCAACATTCGCAACATGCTGCACTAAAAAACCACAGACAAGCGCGCGGGGTGTAACAATTATTACGCCCCGAGCAGCTAGGCCCTTTCGTGCTCAGCAAAAAATGGGCTCCCACTTTTCAGGTTCCTCCCAGTGCTACTGTCGGAACATTGAGGCAATTTTTGACAAGTAAAGCGACGAGGTGGTCCGACAGTATTGTACTTCAGGAGTCGAAAAGTGGCCACATACAATCTCCCGACATTCGTGTACCTCCTTCTCAACATTTGCAACACTCTCCGCCGAGTGGCATTCGTGAAACCGGTTTAAGCTAGCATGTAGTTCGTCCAAACTGGCGTACTCGTGTTCTTGTTCGACGTGGTGGAGGGGGGCGTTGATGGGTGAAGGTAAATTAGAAGGACATGATTCTGAAGATCATCATGATCTCATGTACGACCACCTTCACTAGTAGTCATCATAATCATCATCATGTACTACTTTAGGTACCTTCACTAGTATCATGTACGAGAACTACTTGTACTTCTTCATTTTGTTGTGACCATAAAAGTATCGTGAGGCCCGTCTTGCACTTGCTCAACACGAGTGTGGACATCCACTGAACCTGGACCTGCTTGCTCCGGTGGCGAGCCTGCTACATCTGTCCGGTACGCGGCCCTAGAATGCAACGTGGCAAACATTTTTGATTAAATGTAGATCATTCTCGTGGGGGATGGTGAATAAGTGAAAGACGATTTTCAATTTTCTTCATGATCATGATCATCACAGTTGTATTTTTAGACAGAATCAATGTTGGAGGGCGTTCTATTTCATCATAATCCACGACTTCCACAATTCTTCATCGTCTGCGGGTGTCGTGATAAGTTGTTCTTGTGCTTGTCTGCAAAACAAAATTGCGAAGGTGTTTTTCTTTGAAATCATCTATCGAAGTCACTGTCCACCACAGTCTTCTACAGATACAGTCTTCTAGTACTTTATTTTGCCTCTACGTCCTCTACCTAGGTTATCTACTGTTCACAATGGTAATATTCTATCAAAATGAAAATGATGTAAGTCATTTTTTCTTTTTATTCAACATACTCTTAAATTGTGATTCTCGTCCATAGAATTCGAGTCATCGGCATGATATGGATATGCAAGAACACATATTTGTTTTTTTGGAGATGGCCAGAAGTTGTTTCATGAATAGAAAACAGCTCTAGAAAAGTCTCCAAGAACTCTTTCCCCGTTTGCCGTCTAGGGCGGATCTAGCTGCTGTCCCCAGCAGTGCGATGTCTTCATTATCCGGGAACTGTTCGCTCGCGATTTTCAGTAGCATATCTGCTCCTTGCGCCCTGAGAAAAAAACGAGATTCGTCACAGCTACGAGCTAAATGCGTTAGCATTTCGAGTCCGTTTTCCTGCACCTCAGCGTCGAAAGGATACGCTTTGAGTAAGCGCAACACAAGACGTTCATAGATGAAGAAAGTGACGTCATCCTGCTGTTGGAGTTGGTCAGCGTCCGGAATGTCACGTGGCGTGATAGGAAAACTCGACGACAAACCACTGCCACGAGGCGTCGCTAGATAGATCGTGTGCCCGCCAGGAATATCGTTACGAACCGGAAAATCCAACTTTGACGAGTCCGAAAAATCCGTATACACCACGTTGAGAAGCGCCAAGCCGTGACAGACTATTTCTCGTTCCTTTTCCTGCGCTAGGAGCAACTCCCAAACCTCTTCGAAAATTCCACGCTCTACAATTTTCCGCTTCATTTCCATGTCCTGCATCGTGCAGAGGCAATATACACCTGAAATTTTTGCTGCTCTTGCATGTTTTATTCATCTGTTAAAAACTACGGTTACAGGAGAAGGAGGACACAAGACGAAGAAAGGTCAACTGCCTATAATACCTTGAAGTCGTCAAAATACTAGATCTAGACCTAGTACAACTACAACAAGACCTACAATCAAAGTTTCAAAAATACGCAAACACTGTCCAGTATGCTTGTGCAAATCGGGAAGACCGAGAGAATGAAGTTCTGCGCACGCTTTCGTATTCATGTAGGTGATGCCGTGAATCGCAGTTAATGGTGCATCTGTTTCAGCTGTCGCAAGCATAGAATGGACTGCTGGGAGTTAGAAGATGCACGTTGTTCTTGTTGTAGTCGTGAAGCCCCATACTAAAACTACAAGTACTAGAACTAGAAGTCCCCACCTACAACTGCGACTAGAACTACTTAATAGGTAAAAATATAGCTCGTTGCAAAACCAGAAGTGAGAGATGAAAGAGAAGCTCACCTTAACTGAAACATTTTTGTTGTGCCAATTCGCGTGCTCCAGCGTGCATCATGCTTACATTTGCCACGAGTCTTAGTGCGTTCGCGTTCCCCTCAATCACAAACGGAAGTACCTGTTCTATAGCGTGTTCCCCTATCAGCGCTGCGTTGTCGCCAATACCACTAAGCAGAAGTAGCGACCGCAAGATCCCATCTACATTTGAGAGAAGAGAGGACCCTCCTGTCTGCATACTCTTGCTCAGTAAGAGCGCGGCATAGGCTGGAACTAAGGCTTTCCCCAGTTGAGAGAGCGCACTGCAGTCTTTCTCCTTGTGATACTGCTCGACGATGTCGAAGGTCTGAGCAGCGGTACAACACAGCACTGCGCGAGCTAGTAGGGAAGGGTCCTTTTCTACTATTGAGGACCATAGGATTCTGCTTTTTACGACAAGACGAGTCGTGGCGGTACTACAACCTTCTGAAGGCTTCTCCTTACCCTTACCCTTCTCCTCTTCTTGGAATTGGAATATGATCGACGCCAAAGCAGCATCTAGTTCACCAGCTCTCTGCTCTATGCTTGGTTGTGATGAAACAGCCCTTCCAAAGCTCTCACGATAATCCAAGAGACGCACTAGCATAGCCGGATCGATCTGCGCGTCTGGGCGGCGATTTCTTGTCTTAGATAAAAGACGAGCATTGCTCGTCTAGGAATCCTGGCATCGGTATCTATGCACAACTTCTGTCATTCTTGTACTTGTTCATTGCTCTAGGAATCCTGGTATCGGTATGCACTTCTGTCCTTCGTATCTATGCACAACTTCTGTCATTCTTGTACTTTCGGTATGTACTTCTGTATGCACAAGAACTTCTGTCCTTCTTGTTAGAATAAATCAGGTGATATCGTAATCGGTATACCCTCCACGGACGCAGTCGTAGATGAAGCCGGACTTCTAAAAAATTTCGAAAAACGGACTATAAACTTGACACGAAAAGGAAAAAAGATACAAGTGTAGTTCTTGTTCATGAGCATGAAAATAAGAGACTGTTTCCGTAATCACGGTAATCAGCGCTGCAATGAGAATTTCGACTTCTCTTTTGTCCCGTCGTCGTTGGCTGATGCATTTCTCGACCAGGCTCCACAGTTGCGTATCCGACAAAAGCGCATATGCTATCAGATGAGGACTACTGGATACTAACTCTAAGACATGTTAACGCTCTCCGTAACTCATCTTCCAGCTGTATCCTTGAAAAGTATAATCACAGAGTATCGGCCTGGAATACTCTGCCATACGCTTCAAGGATGCAGTCAAAGATGCACGAGCTACAAACTTAAACATGGTTCGTTTTGTCCTTGTCTTGCTGTCGTGATTCGTTGTGGTAGTTGTAGAAGTTAACAGAGGGAAGCAGCTGTTGTGCTCTATTTCGAACATCTTTTGACGCTCGCAAAAGTGCTGCTATGCTGAGTGAGTGAAGGAGGTCTTCATCAAGACTATCAAGACAACTGCGGACCACTGCTTCACGACTAGCATTGCACTTCGTGCTGTCCTCTGCAGATGGAGGTGAAGAAGATGCGCTCGCAGTGCATCTTCCTCTGGGTTGAGCGCACCTTCCTCTGGGTTGACCACTCCCAATTTCATCGTTTGATGTTGACACCATTGTTGTAGTGTTTCTAGATATGAACCCATGATCATCCACGAAATATCCCCCAGAGCGACTATCATCAGCTACGTGGTCTTCAGCTACATCTTGACGTCCGTACACGTCCTCTTGAAAACTACAGCTGGAGTTGTAGTTGGTCCTCCCAACTCCTGGTGCTTTGTAACTTCCTGATCCTGTTGTAAAGGGTAAGGAAGTGGCGCCACCACTAGAAGACGTCGTGCTTATCGATGTGGCTGCACTGCTTCTGCTTGCTATAGAAGAAGTTCCTAGTACTTCATCATCGGCTCCCGTATGCAGCTGCCCTGGATCTGTATTATACAGTTCCCTCCAGCTTTGCCCTTCCTCCAGGTATGAAAGGAAAACTGGAATTTTATCCATGCGTTTTGATGTTTTATTGATGCAATTTTTTCATGTGGATGACCACGATAGAAGTACAACTAGAAGAGGCTACAGCTCCGCCTTGCAGCTGGTTCTTCACTTGTGCAGCTGTATTCCTGTAAGTAGTTGGCCTCAGACTTAAAAATCCTGAAGAACCAGTGAGAATAACGCGAAAGGGAAAATTGCTTTACTACAAATGCTTTACTCAACACCAGTCTCAGACAAATGCTTTACTACAAATTCATCATAACAAACTACTGGAGCAAGCGACGCTTGGAGTATCACAGAAGGAGGTGGAGCATTTTGACGATGTGGTGTCTTTTACAGTAAAAGGAAAATTGGCACAACTGTTAACATCGAAGGGGTCCCCTTTCTCGTCGTCTTCTCCTTGCTGAAGTTGTCCGCGACATTTTTCCTGAGACGAGGAGTGCGAAACTTCTACGGAAACGTGGTAGAAGAGCTGGTTGTCGGTAGCGGGCGGATGAATTTCATCGGAGGTGGAAGACATTTTTCACAAAAAAAAAGTGATTGAATGAATCTTCACCCAAAAAAAGAAGAACTAGTTGTGATACTAAGCACACAAGACACTACCAACTTAACTACTTACGTACTCATCATCGATTATCCCATTACTAGACATCGTGCTACAAGTTTTCATTTTCTTTCGTCCTCGTGCAGCTCTTCGTCTTCTCTTTTCCGAAAGTGTCAAGGATTTCGCTTTGTGGTCGCAACTATTTGGTGCATTACATCCTGCATAAACCTTGTACTTTTTTGTTTTTGTGTTTCACAGATTTCCCTCCGAGCGTACAGATACTGATTTTTATGACAAGGTTAAAATCGCTGCAAAGGACGAGAGCCAGTTCAGTCATGATTCTCTCACTTCGACAATGATTCGAGCAATCTATTAATCGCGATTCTGTGTTCAAGTCGTGACCGCGAGAGTTCTTTCGAGTCGGCCAATGCGGCATAGGAGTAAAAGTAATGATATTTTTGCCTTACAAGATACTCCTGGCGTAGGTATCAGGCTGGCGTGGCCGGTCCTTCAAAAAATATGCGATAATCAGCTGCGCGTGTAGCCACTTGAAGGGTTGGGGAGAGGAGGGCGTCATAAGGGTTATTGCAACAACATCTGGATTGAGATTGAGAAGTGCATGCTCTTTAAATTCATTTCCCCCTGACCCGCTACTCATTTTCGCCTTCTTCTGGCAATACTTCCTCCAGCACTTCGTTTACCAGGTCATCGATCGAGTAGAGTGCTCCAGCTGCTCCACAAGCTTCGTGGATTAGAGGTGGAAGAGGCAGGTTTTACTTCATGTGATGTGACTACATACACATAGTACAAGTACTACTACTAAGTAGATACGAGCAATTCTCATCATGAAGATTCTCATGATCACCTCCATATTTTCTGGTGCGAGTGGACTAGATTTTTCTGAAAACATCCTAGAAATACTTGAATTAGAACGTACGAGCTGGAGCTTGAGCTAAGACCAAGTTAAATAAGTTGTTAAATCCAGATGAGGATGAAAGGAAAAAAAACAACAAATTTTCGACGCATAAAATCAACCCCGCGACCAAACTCTTGTGTGCCCATGCAGCTACCATTGATTTGACTGCGACTTTCTTCGCCATATTCAAACCGGGACTCAAATCATCAATCATGATGCACTTCTCTGGTTTCACGTCAAATTCCTTGAAAATCTGCTCGCATGGCCACGCGTTAGGCTTGCGCTCTAGAGGATCGTCTCGCCAACCTTCGGTAGTCGTAGGTTTGTGGGAAGTGGCACTACAGCTACACTCGAATTGATAGTTACGATTGAAGTCTGATTAAAGTCTAAATATAATCGAGGTTGCAAAAGTAGTGAACAAAGAAGCTGTATGTTATATATAAGCTTTTCATCTGAGAAGTCAGCTCGTCCAAGTGTAGGTAGTACTTCGATTTTTTTAGTCTACCAGAAAGCAGAAACTGCTGTTAGTAGCTTTTATGCAAATCTTGTAGAAAATCAAAATTCAAATTATTACCCCATATCCGATCAGGCATGAAACCCTTTCCTAGTTTTTCGTAGTGCCTTTTGATCACATCTTCTGGAGAATGCGAAACCACGGTTACGATTCCACCTAATTGTCTCCAGACTTTCAAGAGTTCAATGATTCCAACGTAAAAGGCTGGATCCCTCTCTCGCATAAATTGGTGCCATATGTCCATCTCCCGCTTGTGGACGTCGGGGTCAAGGTATGAAGTAAAAGAGGATCGTTGAGATGTTGTTGGGAATGATAATCAAGAGCTCAAAGCCTACTCAGACATAGAATCTAGAGTCTGTTGCATGCACCATGCAATGTGGTCTCGGTGTTATAAATTTTACGCTTGCATGTCACCAGTAGTCCCTGAAGCTGAAATTAATGTTCACAGGGTATTAGTATTACTTGTACCTAGAAGTTGAACAATCCTGAATAAGTATATACTCAGAGACAGAGTTGATTCTTTAGCCTTCCATAAATCTCCGAAAACGCCTCGCAGATATTCTCCGACTCCCGGATTGTGGTTGACACGAAACCACCCTTCCAAATCTATCGGCGTGTGCTCCGGAAGAATCTCTTTGCAACAGGGGAGATTAGAATAAGAATCTCATGGGGTATCCGTGTCAAGGTCATGTTCACCTACTTCCAATCATTATTAACCATAATGACTAGTCATTAGAAGCATGATAAATGATATCGATAAGCAATGGGAGGTGCGCAGAAAATGTGTCAGGCTGATATTCTTCAACCTCCTCATAGAATTTCTATGGGGAAGCATCGGATTCCCTATCAGTCACTGAAGTGAATGGTTCCGGTATTTGGTAACCTGAATTTGATCACAAGGGAAAACATATTGATGATCGACAAATAGGACCAAGATGATCATTGAGAACCAGATCCAGGAGATATACCAGAGTCAGTTAAATAAGAAGCTGTCTTAACAACATGTGCCGGGTGATGTATCCTCTTCGTGCTCTCGACACAGGTTTCGTCATGATCTAGAATCAGACAGCGATATTTCCTTCGGAGAGGTGGAGCACTGGCTTTTGAAGATGATGACGTCGATGTCCCTGCCAGCGTAAGCAGACGTGGCATGAGACAATCCTTTTCGGAAGTCAGATCCAGGTCTTTAGTGGTGGTCCCAATCCCGTTAGTTCGAACAGCGACAGCGGCTGTCCCATTGTTCTCGGCCCTGCTTTCAGCCGCGTCGTTCGACGCGGGCATAGTGCTGCAATCGCTTTCACCCATATTCTTTCCGTATTTCTATTTGTAGAAGTAGAGCTGCAAACTATAATAAGATGCAAACTATAACCATATTAATTTTAATGAGTCAGTGGTGTTGACTAACGATGACGCTTTGATGTTTCTCTGAAGAAGCGGCTGTAAATGCGACTCCTAGTAAGTTTCTAATTTTTATCCATGCATCCACTTTCTCTCTGCATATTTTTTCGAGACTTGGAAAAGATCAATATCGGATGCATGCTGAAAACAAATCTATAAACTGCTTCTGATCCTGGTACTAGTATCGCAGCTAGCTCTTGCACAAAACTTTTACATCCATAGAACTCAAACTCTTCGTCAGTTTCAGACTCTTTAAGATCTTCTAGTTCGTGTTCTTCAGATCCACCAGAATTATGAGAGCTCATGCTTCTACTGGTACTAGTGCCTACAACCTTGTTACGCTACCCGTCATGATGAAATTCTACGACTAGTACGTGGTCCACGGAAATATTTACTATACACGACAGATAACGAGCTCTGTCAGAAATCATGCATTTGTAGTTCTCACCACATACATCTTCGATGGGAAATGATCTCCTGCTATGAGAAGGATGTTGACTATGTTGGTGTCTACTTCGATGTGGATGTTCATGTTGTCGTCCTCTATGCAAACAAGTGATATGTCATATCTATTCCACTTAGAACTCAACATCTTCATGCTTTGGTCAGATTTCGATGCAACTCATTGGGTTATTCTCCACATGCTAACCACGATGCATTAAGTGTTGAAAGTTTTTTACTTCCGTGAGGTGGTAGTGTTTCTTCCGCCGTGCAAGAAGCCTTCTACTAATTCCGTATTCTTCTTGTATGCGTCGAGGCTTCCCTTCTTCGTAGTTTTGCGGCTTTACTCCGCCTGCACCTGCGTCGCTCTCGCTTTCTTTTTCGCGGTCTTCTTTCGTTAGAGAACAATTGCGTAAAGTACGTAGAAGTGCTAGTTTAAGATGGTAAGCATAGAAGCAGTACCAGTAAGATTACCTAACACGACTAACAGCTGGACAAGCTGCTTGAACTTGATTGAGTAGATTCATAATTTTTCGCGCCTGCCTTGGCCTTTTTCTTGGGCTTTTTCTTGGTAGTACCATCTCCTTCATGGCTTTCACGATCCGTTTCCATATCGGTCATCTCTCCGCCACTGTAAAGTAAATGCACGAGGAAATAAAAGCTATTGACCGGCTATTTTTACTTAAATATATGTGCTTTATTGACGTCGAAGTTAGTTAATGAGCGTTAAAAAAACAACAACGATAACAAAAATATTAAGTGTACAAGCACTCATGCTAAGATCGTCCCACCAATAATTCCTGTTCATCTTGTTCCACAAACATCCAAACAGCAAGAATAATAACTGTTACTGTGGTGGACGAGCAGACCTAACTTGAAAAAAGAAAGACCAGAGGAAGATAGAAAAGCGGAAACACCAAGAGGAAGAAGAAGATAGAAAACACCAAGAATAATAATAGTACTCGAAGTGCTCCTCCTCGTCCATGGGTGCAGGTAGTGCAGCATGACCAGCCTGCGTTGCACGCTGGCCCTGGGCCGCATATGCAGCTTGGGATGCACGCTGATTGCCGTAGCCTTGATCACCGTAGCCTTGATTGCCGTAGCCTTGATTGCCGTAGCCTTGATTGCCGTAGCCTTGATTGCCGTAGCCTTGATCACCGTAGCCTTGATCACCGTAGCCTTGATTGCCGTAGCCTTGATCACCGTAGCCTTGATCACCGTAGCCTTGATTGCCGTAGCCTTGATCACCGTAGCCTTGATCACCGTAGCCTTGATTGCCGTAGCCTTGATCACCGTAGCCTTGATCACCGTAGCCTTGATCATAGCCCTGGTTTGCATTCCCCTGATCGCCTCCTGCAGCTTGTTCACGTTAGAGGGAGAAGAAGCAGGAGTAAATGTTTATTATTTCATAGAAAATGATGTTGCTGATTCAGCTACGCCTACGTATCAGATCGTGGATAAAATGAGTAAGTAGTAGTTACTTACAGTGAGTTACATCAGCCGTTTTAGGCAATATTTGCATTATTCGCATTCCGGCAGCTACAACTTCTAAAGGTCTCGTGGCCTCCTTAATGTTGAGAAGGGTCTGACGCCTGAGCTTGATCATCGAATCCGCCATCTCCCATGGGAGGATCCACTTGGTCCTGCATTTCAAGTGGTGATGTTAAAGCTCGGGCGGCATTGGTCACTCCTCATTCTGAAGGGACAAGAGGATCCAGCACTACACACCTCTCGACTTGTCTTCCCTTCGCTTCTTTTCCCTACCTAGTTTTTCCACTGTTGGTTCTCTCAACACTCTCAAGGGAACCGGCCTGTTTCCTCTTCATTGATCTCTCTTCAGTGAAACACCTCTCTTCTGTGGTCTCTTCAGTGTCGTGATGCTTGCATGACCAATGAAGCGTGAGCCTTAATGTAGCTAATGCTAATGGCGGCATATCGATTTCACCAAAGTCATATCCAGCTGCCCAAGCTACCGGATCCACCTCCGTTTTTTCCTGACGCGGTTCTGAGCCAATTCCAGCTGCGAACATCACCATAAGCGTCAAAACTATCAGTAACGCCGATCCTTGAAAAGCCTGTGTTTTTTGTGGGAGTGGATATGGAGGTTGGTTGTTGGACTGGATGCAATGCAATACAATTAATCTCGCACAAAGTTCAGTGCAGACTCCCATAAGGAGGTTAATAGTTGTTGGACAAGTAGCTGGGGGAGTTCTGATGGTGCGTCGTGTTGTTGTATAGTAGATGTCGTTAGTTGTAGTTGGTCGAACCGTGGTTAGTAGTTGGTGGAACCGTGATTAGTAGTTGGTGGAACCGTGGTTAGTAGTTGGTGGAACCGTGGTTAGTGGTTGGACCACCTATGTTCTTCCCTAGTAGGTCGTGGTTAGTTCCACTCAGACAACATGCTACAGGAACAAGATCAAACAGGTGGTTGGTTGGAATTGGAAATGAGGCTTTGGGTTGGTTACTAGTGATCACCGACGAACACGGAGACTAAGCAGCTAGCTTACAAAAGATCTGCATCACTCACATAATCATAAAAGATTAGAAATACTCTATTTAAATACTATTAAAAATCCCCGAACACTCTTCGCCTTTAATGTGAACACTAAAGGACCTTCAAGACGCCTTTAATGTGAATGCTAAAGGATTCCCCTCCCCTTTAATGTGAACACTAAAGGACCCTTAAAGCGCCTTTAATGTAAACACTAAAGGACTCTTAAGGCGCCTTTAATGTAAACACTAAAGGACCCGCGCGGCGCCTTTAATGTAAACACTAAAGGACCCTTA